CCCATCCTCTCGTCTAGCTATGTACTGTATGCTTTAATACACCCTGTACATTGTGGGGGAGAGTACAGTACTGTCACTTTTAAAAACTTTAGAGAAAATCCAAAGAGCTCCTGCCTTGATGCTCTAGATAACTGTTTCTCTGATACATGTAGTTTATTGTAATTTTAAAACTACATTAGCCGCGCAGTGATGGTACACACCTTTAATCCCAGCACTGGGGAAGGAAAGGTAGGTAGATCAAGGCCAGTCTGTCGGAACTCACAAGGTGAAGTGAGTTCAAGGCCAGTCTGGTCTACAGAGTGAGTTCCAAGATAGCAGGACTGTTACACAGAGAAACCCTGTCTTGAAAAACAAAAATACAAAACACACAAGCAAAAGAAAACTACATTAATTAATTTATTTGAATGTGTGTGTGTGTGTGTGTGTGTGTGTGTGTGTGTGTGTGTGTGTGTGTGTCTGTGTCTACATGCGTCCATGTGTGTTATGGTGTAAGTGTAGAGGTCAGAGGACAACTTTGGGGAGTTATTTCTTTCTTCCCATCAGGGTCCTGGGGATTGAACTCTAGTCAAGTGTCTTTACCTGCTGATTTTTTTTAACTGTGTGGGTATTTTGCCTGCATGTATGTATATCTATGTACCATGTATGTCAGTGCACCATGCGTATACAGTGCCCATGGAAGAGGTCACCTGATCCCCTGGAACTGGAGTTACACATAGTTGTGAGCTGCCATGTGGGTGCTAGGAACCTAACCCGAGTCCTCTTGAAGAGCAACCAGTGCTCTTAACTGCTGAGCCATCTCTCCAGCACACTGATTTTTTTTAAACTTTTTATGGGGCTGGAGAGATGGCACAGCAGTTAAGAGCACATACTGTTCTTGCAGATGACCCAGGTCCAGTTTCCAGTACCTACATAGCAGATCACAATTGTCTGTAACCTAGTTCCAGGGAACTTCATTCTGTTTTCTGCATCAAGTATGCATGTGGGGCACATGTGTGTGCATTCCTGTGCAAGTGTGTGTGTGTGTGTGTGTGTGTGTGTGTGTGTGTGTGTGTGTGTGTGTGTGTAGACAATCACTCACACACATAAAATAAAAATAAATAAGTCTTTTAAAAATAATTTTTATTAGATTTATTTATTTTGTGTGTGCATATGCCCATGCATGCATGCCACAGTATGTGTGGAAGTAAGAAGACAATTGCTTACAGGAGTTGGCTCTTTCCGTCCACCATGTGAGTTCTGGGAATTGAACTCAGATCATCAGGCTTGGAAGCAAGCACCTTTACCTGCTGAGTCATCCTGCCAGACGATAATATTTTTTCAATGTATACTCAGTATAATTGTAAGGTACAAAATGTGTTTTGATCGACACACCTTTCTGTCTCTTTTTTTTTTTTTTTTTTTTTTTTGGTTTTTTTCGAGACAGGGTTTCTCTGTGTAGCTTTGCGCCTTTCCTGGAACTCGCTTTGGAGACCAGGCTGGCCTCGAACTCACAGAGATCCGCCTGGCTCTGCCTCCCGAGTGCTGGGATTAAAGGCGTGCGCCACCACCGCCCGGCACCTTTCTGTCTCTTTAACTTCTTCCTCTGTGTAACTGCCCTGGCTGTCCTGGAACTCACTCAGCAGACCAGGCTGGCCCCAAACTCACTGAGATCCACCTGCCTCTGCCCACATCCCCCACCCCTGAGTGCTAGGACTAAAGGTGTGTGCCACCACCGCCTGCCTAACCTTTTTTAGATGAAAGAAGTATGTTTATTGTTACATCTTTTTTCACTTACAAAGTTTATTACTAAAAAAATGAAAAAAGTCAGTTTTTTGCTGGGCGGTGGTAGCACAGCCTTTAATCCCAGCACTTGGGAGGCAGAGGCAGGTGGATCTCTGTGAGTTCGAGGCCAGCCTGGTCTACATAGCAAGATCCAGAACAGGCACCAAAACTACACAGAGAAACCCTGTCTTAAAAAACAAACATACGCCGGGCGGTGGTGGCGCACGCCTTTAATCCCAGCACTCGGGAGGCAGAGCCAGGCGGATCTCTGTGAGTTCGAGGCCAGCCTGGACTACCAAGTGAGTTCCAGGAAAGGCGCAAAGCTACACAGAGAAACCCTGTCTGGAAAAAAAAAAAAAAAAAAAAAAACAAACATACAAACAAAAAATCAGTTTTTTAAACTTTTCAAAAAATATGTCAAATGAATGATGTTCTAGTTTTGTTGTTGTTGCTGCTGTGATAAACACCACAACCAAAAGCAATTGGGGAGGGAAGAGTTGATTTCATCGTACAGTTAACAGTCTGTCATGGATGGACAGACGCCAGAGCAGGAACTCTAGGCAGGAACATGAAGCAGGGACCATGGAGGAATGATGTCTACAGGCCTTTCCCAGGCTCCCGTTTATCCACTTTTCTTGTAGAGCCCAGGCCCACCTGCCCAGGGATAGCACTGCCCTTGGTGGGCTGCCTCTTGTACATTAACTGGCAATCAAGACAGTGCCTCACAGAGGAGCCCACAGGCTAATAATCCACCGGCAATCATTCAGTTAAGGTTCCCACTTTCCAGAGGTAACAGGTTGATAACACGACTATCCAGGATAGGACATAATTCTTTAAAGAAGTCACCTTTAATTACAGTTGAGGAATAAAATGCCTGCATGTTTAAATTTTCCTCACATTTACCTTTTTCTTTTGTTTAATAAAGTGATGTTTATAGTTGTGTGTATAGTGGGGGTCTATAACAAGAAAGTGTGTTTTCAGACTGTTAAAAAATGATTTAACAGGGGCTGGAGGAATTGCTCAGTGATAAAGAGCACATACTGCTCTCGCAGAAGACCCAAGTTTGATTCCCAGCATCCATGTCAGGCGGCTCACAACCACCTGTTAACTCCAGCTCCAGGGGCATCCAGTACCTCTGACCTTCAAGGGAAACTGCACTCACATGCATGTATTCACACGTACTTACTCATGCACACACACACACACTTAAAAGTTATAAAAACTTCTTTAAATGATTTAACAATTTTTGTGAATCATTTCAGACATTTTCGGCTGTGGATACCCACTGTGAGTCCCCTACTTGCTAATGCATATGCATATTTGTATTATGTGTATACACTATTACATTCTAAACATACAAGCATAGACTCTTGAGTTTTGGCATTTTTGTCTCACATGTAGTATTTGTTTGACATGTTAAATGGCGGACGTATACTGTGCCTGTGAATGTGGAAAGCAATCCTAACTGTATTCGGCCACAAGGCCTAATTTGCAGTAACTATTGCTGCTTTAAAATTTTTTTGGTTTTGGTTTTGTATTTTGAGAAAAGTCTTACCTTGTAATTCTGGGTGGCCTAGAACTCTATACATGAACTCATAAAGATCTGCCTGCCTCTGCCTACTGAATGCTGGGATGAAAGGTGTGTGCCACTATGCCTGGCTGAGACCTTTTTTTCCTTAGTTTTTCAAGACTGGGTTTTTCTGTGTTTCAGTGCCTGTCCTGGAACTCATTCTGTAGACCAGGCTGGCCTCGAGCTCACAGAGATCCGCCTGCCTCTGCCTCCCGAGTGTTGGGATTAAAGGAGTGCGCCACCACTCCCTGCTGAGTGCTGGGATTTTTAAAATACATATATTTCACCAGGCAGTGGTGGCGCACGCCTTTAATTCCAGCACTCGGGAGGCAGAGGCATGTGGATCACTGTGAGTTCGAGGATAGGCAGGGCTACACAGAGAAACCCTATCTCAAACAAAACAAAACAAAACAACCCAAAATTTTATTTCCTCTGTGTGTGTGTGTGTGTGTGTGTGTGTGTGTGTGTGTGTGTGTGTGTGAACGCTGTCAAGTGAGAGAGCTTGTTGTGTGCACTGTGTACCCACCGACCCATCTCCCTGGCCCCTGTTGCTCTTTTCTTTCACAGTGGCTCATTGCTTTGTATGCACTTGACATTTGGGAATGAAGAAATGAAGATTGTGTGTCTTCCCAACAGGAAGTATAATCAACCAAGCTAAGCAGGATGTGGTTGTGCCTTTTTGTAATCCCAGCACTTAGGAGGTGGACACACACACACACACACACACACACACACACACACACACACACACGTAAGTGCACACATGCATGCACACATGCACACACTAATTAAAATAAGACAAACAAACAAAAAGCTAGTGTGACAGCAAATGCCTGTAACACCAGCATTTTGGAGGTTGAAGGCAGGAGAATCAGGAGTTCAGGGTTATCTTTGGCTGATACATACAGAGTTTTAGGCCAACCTGGGCTACATAAGACCCTGTCTCAAAATAATAAAATAAAATGACCAGCCTAATGTTACAACTACGTTGAGGCCAAATGTAAACTAAAAGCCTTAATTGAAGTAGCACAGTCTTTTTTTTTTTTTTAAGATTTATTTATTTAGTATGTATATAGTGTTCTGCCTGCATGTATGCCTGCACACTAGAAGAGGGCACCAGATCTCATTGCAGATGGTTGTGAGCCACCATGTGGTTGCTGGGAATTGAACTCAGGACCTCTGGAAGAGCAGCCAGTGCTCTTAACCTCTGAGCTCTGTCTCCAGCCCGAAGTAGCACAGTCTTAACATAATTTAACATTAGTAGTTCAATCATTTTGGATTACCTCACATACAAACCAAAAACAACAAACAAAAACAGCCACAATGGAAACCCCAAAACACCATGCTGGGACAGAGGCTCCGTGAGTCAGTGCTGATGTGTGTGTCATTCTGGCGTCTGGATGTGCAGGGGACTATGATGAGTGCTGTGGGGGAAAAGGATGCAGGCTCTGATGTGGGTTAGAGGGTTGTGGGCTGCTGAAAGTAGGGGTTGAAGTGGCCATCCCAGTGATTCCAGGGAGTCCCCGGACAGTTGTGCGGAGGGTGGAATGTGGTTGGGGGAGCAGCCTAGGGGAGATGAAATCTAGGGACTTAGGTAACTCATAGGAGGAAAAAGTGGAGAAAAGCAGGGTGATGATGTGGGAGGGGAGAGGGGAGTGTCCCGGGAGAAGAAGGAATAATTAGGTTCTTTCTGCTTCGAGATCAGGACTCATGCAGTGGGTACTCAGCAATCAGATGAGAGGGTCCATGGGAATCGTCTTTCTTTTGGCTTAAAAAAATAATAATGTTGAATTGGAAAGATGTTTCAGTGGTTAAGAGCACTTGATGTTCTTCTGAATAGTGTTCCCTGTAACAACATAGAGGAGCTCATGATTGCCTGTAACTCCAGCTCCAAGGGATCCATTGCCTTCTGGCTTCTTCAGGCACCCACGTTGATGTGGCATACATTCACACAGACACGTATTTCTTTTAAATGTCAATATTTATTTATTTATTTATTTATTTATTTATGAGGCAGGCCTTCATGCATCTCAAATTGGCCTCAGACTTATTGTAGCAAAGGATGACCTTGAACTTCTGACCCTCCATTTTCTAAGTGCTGTGATTACCGGCTTGCACCAGTGTGAACAGGTTAAGTGGTGCTGTGGTGCCGGGGTTTTGTATGCTATAGGTGAGACTATGACTACTCGCCAGTCCCCATTTCTTTTTCTTTTTTGGGGTTTTTGAGATAGGATCTCACTTAATAACCCCAGTTTGCTTTGAGCTCATAGTAGTCTTCCTGCTTCAGCTTCTGAGGTGTTAAAATAATAGGCATGAGCCTCCATACCTGGCACTTATAGGAATCATGAGCTCGGAGATACAGACCATGTAATGCCTAGTCATTGTAACCTACGTTCTGAGGGGTGCTATTGCAAGGAAGGCCTGAATCCTGGGGACAGAACCGGCCCTGGATGTAACCCTCAAGCCCTCAATGTTAGGGAAACAGCCCTTGGAGGATAGGAGAGGGACTGTTCCAGGGGACAGAGGGAAACCTAAGCCTTCATGCACTGAAAAAGTTTCAGGGTGGTCACCAAACCCAGAAAAGGCTTAAGCGTGAGAGAAAGTGGAAATGCCGACTCGGTCAGTGTAGATGGCCTTTTGTGGGCTTGGGCTAGGGCCACATCTGCGGGAGGATAGGGACATTTTTATCTTGAGAAAGGCAGCTGAGAAGGATCCAGGAGAGGGTGTCGTTCCTGCTGCTGCTGAACCTAGTGATGTGTCTAGGAACCCATGGTCCACGCCGTGGATGGCTTCACCTGGCAGGGCCTGGTTGCCAGCCTCACCGCCTCTTGGCCCTGTGCTTCCAAACCCTTCAACTGTCAAAGAAGATAATGTTGTGGTCTTGAATGGCAGGGGAAACTTCTTCCTTGGGAGGCTGGGTCTCTGGGTGGGGCGACCATGGTCACGTATCATCAAAGGCCAAATGTCCACTGAGTCAGTGCCTAGAGCTGGAGACTAGCAACGGGCACTCAATCCAGACTCATTCCCAAGGAGTAGACACACTTAGGATCCTCACTGGCTCTTCCTTTCTTGAGATTTTTACCCCATTGAGCCATACTGCATAGGCCAGTCCCCCTGGGGCCTGGGAGAAGCCAAGGCTATCTCAGGGAGATGGGGAAATGGTTTCTTCATTTGGTATGCCAGGCCTGCTTCACTCACTGCCCATAGCCTCATGAGGCAACAAGACTCTGAAGCAAGCCCCAGCCCACACCCTGGCAGGCAGCCAGTGCAGGAAGGGGCAGGAGGCTTCTGCATCAGGTTGAGGCTGAGCATAAAGGAGGCTCAAGTGGCCTGGAGGAGGCAGTCTTGGGGACCATGCACACCCAGAGGGACAACCCTTCCCTGCGATGGTCACTATCACTGCTTCTGCTGCTGGGCCTGGCGCTGCCTTTAGCCATCTCCCAGACCCGCAGCTACAGGGAGGCTGTGCTCCGTGCTGTGGATGAGTTCAATCGGCAGTCCTCGGACACCAATCTCTACCGCCTCCTGGACCTGGAGTCTCAGCCCGCAGGGGTGAGGCTGCAGAAGAGCAGGCTCTAATCCAAGCCCTCTTCCCCTTTTAGTGGGTCTCTCCTGTTCTCGGGACACTCCCTAGACCTGTCTCCTTCTAGATTGATAGCTTTCAGCTTTGGAATACCTGCTGTGGCAGAGTGCCCTCAACCCTAGTCTAGTGATGCATGGGGCCTCCATTCCAGGGACAGGGTGGAATCGTTGGCCCCAGGAATTGGCTTCCTTTGCTCTAAGTTTTTTTTCCATATCCAAAGAAGGATTGTGCCTAGGCTTGAGGTCCCTAAGGATGTTTCCAGAAGGGGGTGGGTGGGGACGAGCTCTTCATTTCAGCTGGCTGGGGGCTGTTCCTACTCCCTGTGTGTGTGGGGAGGAAGGAAGGGGCTCATTTTCTCTTCCCCCTGTACCCCAGCACTAGGTCCTGTTTCAGCACCTAGCATGTAATGCTGGAAGGCCACTCTGTTAGTGGCTGTCAGGAAGAGTGACCTTGTAACTGAGGATGGGCCTGAGGCTAGTCTCCCCACTTTTTCCCATGACCAGGATGAGGACCCAGATACCCCAAAGTATGTGAGGTTCAGAGTGAAGGAGACCGTGTGTGACAAGGCATTGCAGCAGCTACCTGAGCAATGTAACTTCAAGGAACATGGGGTAAGCCAGAGGGCTGGGGTGACTGGTGGGTGCCTCCTGGGGAACTAAACAAAGTCCCGAGGGAATCTTTCCATCTAGTGGGCTAGGGTTTGGGGGCTATGGCAAATGGGTTCTAGTTTGACCTTGAACTTTCTCTTCTCAGCTGGTGAAGCAGTGTGTGGGGACAGTCACCCTGAGCCAGGACACAGATTCTTTTGACATCAACTGTAAAGAGGTGAGTGGGATGCAGGGAATGATGTGAGGATGGGACATGGATTACCCTATGGACCAGTTATCCCTATTCCTACCCATCCCCTTGGTCCTCCTTGTGCCTGAACTTCAACTCCACCACTGGTTCTGTTGTCATCCTTTAGTGCAGTGACTCTCCAAGTCTGGCTCTTGGGAGGCAGAGGAAAGGAGGCTCTCTATGGGTTCTAGGCCAGCCTTACCTACATCATGAGTTCCAGGCCAGACATGGGTACATGTGAAGGCTTATCTCAAAAAAAAAAAAAAAAAAAAAAGGTGGTTTTTTAGCTGGAACTTGTTAAGAATGAAGACTCTCAGGCCTCACTGAGTCTTAATCAGACTCAGGCTGAGGACCTCACCACCCGGGTGTTAGCATGCCCTACTGAGTCCTGCTAATGCTCACAGCATCCTCCAGGGTACACTCTCAGACCCCAGGGAGCCTCTTGCCATTCCAAGGCCCCAGTGTTCTCATCTTTTATTGGGTTAGGGATCCAACTACATGTCCCAAAGGCTGAACTAGGGCCCAGAGGCTCTGAGAGTATCCCTGAGTGTGGTCCAGATGGGGAGGACCTCGGGTGCCCTGGGACCAGCCTCACAAGGAACCCATCTCTTCCTGGTACACAGCCTGGGACACAGCCCCAGAAGTTTAAGAAAATTGCCAAGATCGCTGGACTCCTCCGAAAAGGTGGGCAGAAGATTGGTGAAAAGATTAAGAAAATTGGCCAGAAAATTGCAGATTTGTTTGGGAAAACTGCACCTGAGGCGGAAAAGTAGGCCTGCCTTGGCCTGTTTCTGGATTCCAAAAATAATAAATTTGGTGAAGGAAACTTCTCAATGGCTTTCGTCTTCTTTTAGTCTTTAACCCTGGAGGTTCTCTGAGCACGTGTGAGCCATCACTTTTGTATTCTGTGTGTGTGTGGGGGGCATTTGAGACAAAAAGGAAGGTAGCTATCCCATCAGAAGGTATATGTAAGGCAGCAGGGCAAGAGGTCCATTTAATATATATATATACATACATACATACATATATGTGCATATATATATATATATATATAATATTAGCTGGGCAGTAGTGGTACACTCTTTTAATCCCAGCACTCTGGAGGCATGGGCAGGCAGGTCTCTCTGAGTTCAAGGCCAGCCTGGTCTGCAGAGCAAATTGCAGGACAGCCAGGGCTACACAGTGAAACCCTATCTTGAAAAGCAAACAACAACAAAAAGATAAGGAAAAAACAAAGAACTATTATTTTGTGTGTGTTTGTGTACCTGAGTATATATATGTGCATTATGTCCTGCTGGTACCTGCAAAGGCCAGAAGAGGTGTCAGATCCCCTGAACTAGAGTTACAGGCAGTTGTGAGTTGCCAGATGTGAGTGCTGGGAACTAAATTTAGGGTCCTCTGCAAGAACAGCAAGTGCTTGTTTTTTGTTTTGTTTTGTTTTGGGGGGGGCAGGGTTGCTCTGTAGCTCTGGCTGTCCTGGAACTCACAAAGATCAGTTTGCCTCTGCATCCCAAGTGCTGGGGTTAAAAGCATGTGCTATCACTGCCTGGCAGCAAGTGCCCTTAGCCATTGATCCATTTCTCTGGCCCCTAGACATCCATTTATTGCTTACCTGTGTGTTAGACCTAACATCTGTGTGACTGTCAGGTAAAATAGTTTTGGAATGTCAAACAGACCTCTAGTTTCCAAAGGCTGATAATGTCATCAGATAATATCTGAGGCCCACAGCAGATTCCCACTTTGTACACTCTCCTACCTGATGCTTCCAGAAATGTTTTTTGTTTTGTTTTTAAACAAGGTCTCACTATGTAGACCAGGCTGGCCTTGAACTCAGAGATCCTCCTCTGTATTCCTCCCCAGTGCTGGGATTAAAGGTGCCACCATGACCAACTCAATCAATGTATTTTAAACTTTTTAAATTAAAATTTATGCATATGGGTGTTTTCTCTGCTTGAATGTCTGTGTACTACATGTGTGCCTGGGTCACAATAAGGCATCAGATCCCCTGGTACTGGAGTTACAGATGGTTGTGAGCTGCCATGTAGGTGCTGGGAACCAAATCCAGGTCCTCTGGAAAAGCAATCAGTGCTCCTAAGCTCCCTCTGAGCCATCTCTTCAGCTCTAACCCCTCATTTTTTTTTTTCTTTTTTTAAAATTGTTTTTCGGGTTGGGGATTTAGCTCAGTGATAGAGCGCTTGCCTAGCAAGCACAAGGCCCTGGGTTCGATCCTCAGCTCAAAAAAAAAAAATTGTTTTTCATTTCTTGTGTGTGAAGCTGTGTTACTGTGTCTGTGTAAAACACCTGACGGTCTAATAAAGAACTGGCCAACAGCAAGGTAGGAGAAAGGACAGGAGGGGCTGGCAGGCATATATATATATATATCAGTATAAATAGAAGAAGAAATCTGGGAAGAGGGATCTAAGAGCTAGCAGCCAGAGGAGGAGGAGGACTCCAGGGGCCAGCCACCCAGCTACACAGCAAGCCATGGAGTAAGGGTAAGATTTACAAAAGTTAGAGAATGGGAAAAGCCCAGAGGCAAAAGATAGACGGGATAATTTAAGTTAAGGAAAACTGGCTAGAAATAAGCCAAGCTAAGGCTAGGCGTTCATAATTAAGAATAAGGCTCTGTGTGTGATTTATTTGGGAGCTGGGTGGTGGGCCCCCCAAAAAGAGTAAAAAAAAATCAACAACAATATCTTCCTCCAGGACACAGACACTAAGTGCACAGCATGGTTTTGAGTCCACACTCAACTCAGTGAATGGGTGCATTTATGTTCTACATAGTCAACCCACTGAGAGATTCTTACATGATTCTCTCTTCAGTTAGCACAGAAACCTGGCTTCAGGGCAGAGGCCACAACTCCAATGAAGGACAGGAAAAGCTTGTACAGCAGTGCTACCAGCCTGGAGGATTCAGTAACACAGAGTTTATTAAAGAAGCCAGACCGCCAGATCAAATGTTAGTTACACAGTCACTGCATTTTCCTGGCTAGTCCACAGGCCGGCTCCTTCAGGAGGAAGGATGACATTTCTTTGCAAAAAGAGGAGTCACCAGCTGGGTGGTAGTGGCACACGCCTTTAATCCTAGCATTTGGGAGGCAGAGGCAGGCAGATCTCTGTGAGTTCAAGGCCAGCCTGGTCACAAAGCAAGTTCTGGGACAGCCAGAGCTGTTACACAGAGAAACCCTGTCTCAACTGCCCTCCCGCCCCCAACACACATAAAAAGAGGAGTCACCATCCTTCCTTAACACTCATGAATATTCCATAGAAGAGGTAGATAGAGCTAGATGACAGCAGCTGGGCAGTGATGTGCTAGGTCTTTGGGCAGGTGATGGGGTCCAGCAGAGACAGTGCCTTCAGCCCATGAATCCCCCTCAGACTGACAGGACTTTACTAGGCTGGTTTTGGGCCTCCTGTTTCAGCTGCACAGTGGATGCCCTCCTCTGGACTGTAGCGCACAGGACCACGGCGCAGCTGCGGTTCCTCCTCTTCATACCAGCGCTGTTCACTGAAGTCAGGGAAGAAAGCTGCAATCTCTCTGCTGGCGGAAACCGCGGAGTCTGTGAGGAGAGGAAAGGGAGAGAAGAACTACTTAGGAGGTTGAGGCAGGGGGACTGCAAGATTGGGACCGGTTTAGGAAACCAAACAAGACCATGTCTCAAAACAAAAGAAAGAGAAGAGTTACCACAGAGAATGTAGGGTAGAGGCAGGCAAGGCAGTCAACATCCGGTTCAGAACCCTGAACCACTCAGTACTGGAGTAAATAAAGAAAGCTCACAGGCCACAAGGCTGAGGCAGTTATAACAGGGCAGAAATATATGCAACAAAGCTCAATGGAGGGACCACTGGCTGTCAATCTCCTCACATGGCATATTCATCACCCCGAGACATCCTTCCTCATTTGTGGCTGTAGACAAGAGGTTTAGACTCACCTGAGCCATGGGTAGTGTTTCGGGTGTCAGTGAGGCCCAAACTCCCACGAATTGAATCTGGGGCCATGTGGCGTGCTCGAAATACTCTGGTGGGTCCCATCAGTGTTCTCCAAAGCTGGATGGCATCTTTGTGGGCAAGGATGTAGGCTCTGATTGGACCACTGAGAATAAAAGAAGGGATTTGACCACCTAATCTAGAACATGTTGTAAACAGGGCAAGAATAAAGTGAACTGTACGTCCTGAGAATTTCTTTGCCCTTCTAGTGAGTACTGAGCAGTGTCAAAGAGAAAGTGATGGGGAGAGGCAAGAAGTGATCAGCACAGTTGCTAAGCAGCATTCCCCGGCACTCCACCATAGCCATTGGTTCGGTAGCCATAGGACAGGCACCTACCCCCTGTGGCTCAGTGTAGCTCACTCATGATTCTGTTTTTGGTTTTTCAAGACATAGAGTTTCTCTGTGTAACAGTCCTGGCTCTCTTGGAACTGGCTTCTTAGACCAGGCTGCCCTGAAACTCACAGAGATCCTCCTGCCTCTGCCTCCTGAGTGCTAGGATTAAAAGTGTGCACTACCACTGTCCAGCATCAGTCAAGTTTCTCTTCTTTCTTTCTTTCTTTTTTTTTTTTTAATAATTTATTTAACTTTATTTTATGTGCATTGGTGTGAGAGTGTCAGATGCCCTGGAACTGGAGTTACAGGCAGTTGTGAGCTGCCATTTGGGTGCTGGGAATTGAACCGGGGTCCTCTGGAAGAGCAGTCGGTGCTCTTAACCTCTCAGCCATTTCTCCAGCCCCAGTCAAGTTTCTTTAGACTTTACATCTTTAAAAAGTGACAATTAAATGAAAGTGACAATTCTACTCATAGGGAAGAGGAGATAGGCCATAGCATGTGAAGATGTTGGGACCAAAGTTAGAAGTACCTGGCCATGAACTCCACCAGCCGCTGATAGAAAAAACGCCCTGCAAAGAGAGAGTTTCTTCATGAGGACATGGTGCCCAAGAGAGGTTTCTCACTTTTCACGACCTGTAACACCGCCCTGTTTACAGAGAATAACAAGAGCCTTGGAGCCTGACATTTCTGAGTGCAGATCTAGATTCTGCCACTACAATCTGTACAGTTTTGGTTAAGCCATTAACTTCCCTAATGTGTCTTCCAAATCTACGCTCTGGGATATGACAACATCAGCTTGCTATGATTAGGGGAAATTATTTTATCTTTCTACGTGTGTGTGCGCGCGTGTGCATGTGCGTGTGTGTGTGTGTGTGTGTGTGTGTGTGTGTGTGTGTGTGTGTGTTATAGAATACTACCTGTCACCTCTTTTTCTAAATCTGAGAAAAATTAAATGAAATAATGAGCATTAGGGAAATGTTTAACAAGATAAATGTTTACTCATTGTTAATTACTAATATTACCAAGACATAATAATTAAATTTCTGACTATACAGGAAATCTCTCCTAGGAGAAGAAAATACTGATTATCCTGAGAAGTCTGTGCAGAAACAAACACAAGAAGACATAGGGTTTGGGGAGATGACTTGGCCAGTAAAGGGCCTGCAGTACAAGATGAGGGCCTGGGTTTCATTTCCCGAAAACACATACAAATGCCAGGCATGGTGGCACACATTTACAAACCCAGTGCCGGAGAGTTTGAGGCAGGTGGATGCTTGGAGCTCAGTGACCAGCCAGCTTAGTCTACTTGTTGAGTTCTAGGCCAGTGATGGGGCCCTGATGGGGGGTGGGGAAGAGATGGTGCCTGGGACTGACACCTAAGGCTGTCCTCTTGCCTCTACATGCACACACGCACGCACACATGCACATGCACACACGCACGCACACACACACACACACACTCACACGCGCGCGCGCGCACACACACACTCTCACACACACACTCACACTCACTCACACACACGCACACTCACGCGCACGCTCACACGCACACTCACGCGCACGCACATACACTCACACGCGCGCGCGCACACACACACACACTCACACGCACACACACACACACGGGGTTGGGGCGCTGTAACGCAGACCCAGCCTCACCTTCATGCTCTCGGTAAAACCTCCGGCAGTCTTCTCTCTTCCACTGCAGCTCTCTCATCCGTACAATGAGGAACTTGTTGCTCAGAATCTGCTGGTGAACAGCCTGGAAAACAAACATCACGGAGATATGATTGTCTAAGGGGATCACTTAAAGTGTCTGTCCTGTGGATGGGTGCTATGGTCTAGATATTAAGTACCCTTCAACCCCCCCCCCCCCCCCCCCGAAGCTCATGTGTGAAGACAGCTGATGGCCATGGAAACTTCAGAAGGTGGGCCTTCCTGAAGAAAGTATCACTAGGCGTGTGCTCTTGAAGGGGAACCGGAACTCAGCCTGTCCACTCTTCACATCCCAGGCCATGCTGTGAGAACTCACCACAATGTTCTCCCTCAGCATAGGCTCAAGGAGACAGGACCAGGCGCTACAGACTACAATCTGTGAACCTCTGAGGCAAAAAAGCATCTTCCCTTCTTTTAAGTATGGCCCAGTGGCAAAAAGCTGATTAACATGGTGGGTCAAGACCTCAGATATACTACCAGAGTATGAACCTGGGGTACATGGGGACAAGAAGTAATGTCCCTAGGCCCCACCACACAGAACACCATACAAGTCTTTTTAATGGTCCTGTCCTCAGTTTCTCTCATTCATTCTAAACCATCACATTTGATGAAAAACTCAACTTATTTACGTGGTATGCTTTGGTCAGAGAGTTCTGGGTGGTTTCTACTGTGGGACAAGGTGTATGCCCTTTAGTCTAGCACTCAAGGCTACACTGCCCTTGCCCTCTTCCACTTCTCTGGTTGCACCGTCCAGGCAGCCATCCCTGCTTCAGCATCTCTCGTCTGACCTCCTCCTGGCGTTAATCACTGCTTGCTCATCCTCGGAGGCCTGGGTCCTCATACCATTCTAGAGCGCTGTACGCTTCCTGCGCGGCCTCTGTGCTACACACTCTAAGAAGCCCCGAGTTACCAACCTTACAGTAGGCAGAGTACCAAATGACCCCTTCCTTTTGTCTGCCGTCTTCCTTTTTTTTGAGACAGAGTTTCTTGTGTTTCTCTGTGTAGCCCTGCCTGTCCCGGAACTCACTCTGTAGACCAGGCTGGCCTCAAACTCAGAGATCCACCTGCCTCTGCCTCCCCAGGGCTGGGATGAAAGGCGTGCGCCACCACTGCCTGGCCTGTCTGCCTTGTTCTTATTAGAAGCAATTCCAGGCTGGGCGGTGGTGGCACATGCCTTTCATCCCAGCACTCGGGAGGCAGAGATGGTGGATCTCTGTGAGTTCAAGGCCAGCCTGGTGTACAGAGTGAGTTCCAGGACTGGCACCAAAACAACACAGAGAAACCCTGTCTTGAAAAAAAAGAAGAAGAAGAAGAAGAAGCATTTCCTAACTCCTAGAATTCACTGATATTTTGCTGTCATTCTGCCCTTGTCTTGTCTATTTCTATAGTCTCCTTCTTGTCAGTCTTGTTCACTCTACCATCCCAAATGGTAGTAATGATTTCCAGGTACTGCTCCTCAGCTCAGGTTTTCCACCCTTCCTCAGGCCTGTGAGTGTGACAAACATGATTAAGTCACAGCACACAACAAAGGGAATTTTACAGATACATTTCGGTTACTAATCAGTTGATTCTGCTTTAGCTAGAAGGGAGTTTCACCTGGTGGGACTAAATAGTCACCTAAGGGGCCAGCGAGATGGTTCAGTGGGTAAAGGCACTTGCTGTTAAACCTAAGGACCCAAATTCAACCCCCAGGATCCACACCGTGGAAGGCAAGAACCAACTCCCGTGAAGTTGTCCTCTGGCCTCCACACTCATCATGGCACACACACGCTCTCTCTCTCTCGTACACACGTATAACAACCAAACAAACCTAAATCAAAGTCACACAAGCCCTGTAAAAGCACTTTTCTCTGGCCAGGGGCTGAAAGCTAGAGAGGTCAGAAAAACATGAAGGATTAGCTACAGCACCGCACGTGTGAGGAGTGTGGGTTATCTCAGAAACTGAGTCCTTCCTGCCCGAAAGCTAGTGAGCACTAGCATTAGCAATCCTGGAGGTGGGAAATCCCTAGACACTCTGTGTAAGGGCCCAGGCAGTCCACAGCTTGTCTTTGGTCTCCAGAGACTCTAAGCAGGAGATAACCCAGGAAAACCTACTGACCTCTAAACTATGGAATTGGGAGACAAAAAACATGTACTCTTTTAGAAAAGTATTTTTATTATCTTATGAGTGTTTTGCCTGTATGTATTTCTGTGTAGTGTATATGTGCCTAGCGTCTGAGGAAGCCAGAAAAGGGTGTTGGATTCCTTGGAACTGGAGTTATAGATGGTTATGAGCCACCATGTAGGTGCTGGGAACCAAACCCAGGTCCTCTAGAAGAGCAACCAGTGCTCTTAAGTGCTGAGCCATCTCTCCAGTCTGAAATGAGCTGTTTTAAGCTATCAAATTAGCTTAAACTAGTATAATTTGTTTAAAAATACAGGCTGGGCATGACAGTGCATCCCTTTAATCCCAACACTTGGGAGGCAGAGGCAGGTGGATCTCTGTGAGTTTGAGGCCAGCCTGGTCTACAAAGTGAGTTCCAGGACAGCCAGAGCTGTTACACAGAGAAACTCTGTCTTGAAAAACAAAAACAAAATTATATATATATATATATATATATATATATTAGATAAACTAATATATATTAGATAAATTAATATATAATTTTATATATAATAAATATATAATAACATTTATTTATATATTATTTATTTATATTCATTAGTTTAATATATATAAATATATTTATATATATATTAAACTTATATATATTAGTTTATATAGATAAACTAATATATATATATATTAGATAAACTAATATAACACACACACAGAGACTAGAGTTTTCCTTTTTTTTTAAATTGGGGCTGGGCATGGTGGAATACATCTTTAATCCTAGCACTCTGGAGGCAGAGGCAGGTGGATCTCTGAGTTCTAGGTCAGCCTGGTCTACAGAGTGAATTTCAGGCCCGCTGTAGCTACACAATTGATGCAGGAAGATGGTTCAGTGGGTAAGAGCATTTGCTGTGCAGGCATGAGGACTTGAATTCAAATCCCCAGAACTCATGTAAAATAAATAAAAATATAAAATACTGCAAAAAAAAATGTTTCTTGTACTTTATATATGTCCTAACTCTCTAAGAGTATAGTGTTCTTAGGGTCAGTCCATCTCTTAGCTCTCCTTTTCTTTCTTTCTTTCTTTCTTTCTTTTTTTTTTTTTTTAAAGATTTATTTATTTATTATGTATACAGTATTCTGCCTGCATGTGTCCCTGCAGGCCAGAAGAGGGCACCAGACCTCATTACAGATGGTTGTGAGCCACCATGTGGTTACTGGGAATTGAACTCAGGACCTCTGGAAGAGCAGTCAGTGCTCTTAACCACTGAGCCATCTGTCCAGCCCCTTTCTTTCTTTCTTAAGGGTATTCTTTTTTTTTTTTTCCTGGAGCTGAGGACCGAACCCAGGGCCTTGTGCTTGCTAGGCAAGCGCTCTACCACTGAGCTAAATCCCCAACCCCTCTTTCTTTCTTTCTTTCTTTTATTTTTTTTGTTTTGTTTTTGAGACAGGGTTTCTCTGTGTAGCTCTGGCTGTCCTGGAACTCACAGAGATCCACCTGTCTCTGCCTTGCCACCATACCCAGCTGGCTATTCTTTTCTTTTTTAAAAAATTTATTTATTTTTTATGTGCTTTGGTGTTTTGCTTGCATGCATGTCTGTGTGAGGGTGTCAGATCCCCTAGAACTGGAGTTACAGACAGTTGTGAGCTGCCATATGGGTGCTGGGAATTGAACCCAGGTCCTCTGGAAGAGGAGCCAGTGCTCCTAACCATTGAGCCATCTCTTCAGTCTCCTCAGCTAGCTTTTCTTATTTATGTGTGTGTGTGTGTGTGTGTGTAGGTCAGATGACAACTTGCAAGAGTTGGCTCTCTCCTTCCACCATGTGAGATCCATGGCTCACACTCAAGCCTTTATCTGCTGAACAATGAAGCTGATCCATCTACTTTTCAACCTCAGCATCTAGCACATGACTGAGTTGTTAACTGTCACAGTTGGTCCTGTGGCACCTGAAACAGGGCAGTGGAGGCATAGGGTTCATTCTTACCTCCAGAATCAGTGGGTGGGCAACTGCATCAGGCTTGATCAGGGCTAGTGTGAGCTGGAGAGCCTGAGGACTTCGCAAGATGGAGGTCATCTCACCCCTGCCATCAGAGAGTTGAATTAAGGACCACAGTGTTGCGCTCTCAGCCTCTTCTATCCTGGAGGCCATCTAGCCTTGCAAGTCAACCAAGGCCTTTACCCAAGACTCACAGATCGTTTGGTTGTTATAAGGCTGTATATGATACCTATTCATTTGCCTATTTGCACGCATGAAATTGTAGAGGGGACACTCAGGTTACCCTGTGAGACATACAGTCTGGGTTATGCTGCTAGTATAAATGCATCAGGGAGTTCTCCATTGAAGAGAAATGTAAGTTGATACTGCCACCTGATTTTGCCAATACTTTCATATCTTCTAAACTCTTTTGTGTTTTTAATAAGGTTTATGATGTCTACTCTTAAACAGTCTAGCCTGAAGACTACAATGACTTAGCTGGGCAGTGGTGGCACATGCCTTTAATCCCAGCTCTCAGGAGGCAGAGACAGGCAGATCTCTATGAGTTTGAAGTGATTTTGGTCTACAAAGCGAGTTCCAGGACAGCCAGAGCTGTTATACAGAGAAACCCTGTCTCAAAGAAAAAACAAAAATAAAATAAAAGACTACAATGTGTAGTAGAATATTATTTTAAGGTATGTTACTTTTGTTTATGTTTAACTCTGCAAAGCTGTGTTACTGTGCTTGTCTAACATACCTGATGGTCTAATAAAGAACTGGCCAATAGCCGGGCGGTGGTGGCTCACGCCTTTAATCCCAGCACTTGGGAGGCAGAGCCAGGCGGATCTCTGTGAGTTCGAGGCCAGCCTGGGCTACCAAGTGAGTTCCAGGAAAGGCGCAAAGCTACACAGAGAAACCCTGTCTCAAAAAACCAAAAAAAAAAAAAAAACAAAAAACAAAACAAAAAAAAAAACCAAAGAACTGGCCAATAGCAAGGCAGGAGAAAGGATAGGCGGGGCTGGCAGGCAGAGAGAATATGAAGAGGGAGAAATCTGGGAGGAAGAAGTAAAAAGATCTAGCAGCCAGAGAAGGAGGAGGACTCCAGGGACCAGTCACCCAGCTACACAACCAGCAAGTAAGAGTTAAGATTTATGGAAGTAAGAGAATGGGAAAAGCCCAGAGGCAAAAGGTAGACGGGATAATTTAAGTTAAGGAAAGCTGGCTAGAAACTAAGCCAAGCTAAGGTCGGATATTCATAATTAAGAATAAGTCTCCACGTGTGAATTTATTTGGGAGCTGGATGGCAGGCTCCCGGAAAAGAGCAAAAACAAGCATCAATAATGACTGTTGTAAGGTCCTATTCCCACAGTGATCTTCCATCTACACAGTAGGGTTGGAAGACTGACTGACAAAAAAATTAAGCTGCCAGTGGATAATAAAAAGGCTTCAGGGCCACACACCATCTCTTTTTTTTTTTTTTTTTTTAAAGATTTATTTATTATCTATACACAGTGTTCTGCTGTGGGATATTCTGTATGGCAAATGTGTTGCTGATTAGTCAATAAATAAAACACTGATTGGCCATTGGCTAGGCAGGAAGTGTAGGCGGGGCAAGGAGGAGAATAAAGCTGGGAAGTGGAAGGCTGAGTCAGAGAGACACTGCCAGCCGCCAGGATGAGAAACAGCATGTGAAGATGCCGGTAAGCCACGAGCCATGTGGCAAGGTATAGATTAATGGAAATGGATTAATTTAAGCTGTAAGAACAGATAGCAAGAAGCCTGCCACGGCCATACAGCTTTTAACCAATATAAGTCTCTGTGTTTACTTGGTTGAGTTTGAGTGGCTGTGGGACTGGCAGGTGAGAGAGATTTGTCCTGACTGTGGACCAGGCAGGAAAACTAGCTACAGTGTTCTGCTTGCTTGCATGTACCTGCACGCCAGAAGAGGGCACCAGATCTCATTACAGATGGTTGTGAGCCACCATGTGGTTGCTGGGGATTGAACTCAGGACCTCTGGAAGAGCAGCCAGTGCTCTTAACCTCTGAGCCAACACACACCATCTCTTATCTAGTATTATGGATGGTCTCCTCTGCCCAAACTACATCTGTTAACATGCTCAGCTGTCCTCAGTCAACAGACTTAGACAACTGCGAGGTCATGGCCTGGCTGAACCTCTTTGTATGTGAAGCAGCTTCAACAGTATGTGGCACAAAGAGGCTCAAGTCGATGTTACTGATCAAATGAACTGACAGCATAGCCTTATTTCTATTCACCCTTATATTCCCAGTGTTCAATATTTTTTATTTTTTTTTTTTTGTTTTTCGAGACAGGGTCTCTCTGTGTAGCTTTGCGCCTTTCCTGGAACTCACTTGGTAGTCCAGGCTGGCCTCGAACTCACAGAGATCCGCCTGGCTCTGCCTCCCGAGTGCTGGGATTAAAGGCGTGCGCCACCACCGCCCGGCTCAATATTTTGTAAGTGATTTCAATCAATAATTGTGGAAACAACATAACAGACAATATTTCTAGACTTGGTTAAGCATCAGAGGTCACTTCCAACTGCGAAATTCTACTTACATGTGAAAAACCACTTTTGTAGGAGGAAAGATGTCAGCTGGGAGCAAAGGCACATACCTGCAATTCTAGCACTTAGAGGCTGACTGCACAGCTGAACTACACAGCCAGACCCTGACCAAACCATACCAGACCAAGCACGGCCTCAAATATCATCTCTAACCTGTTAGCAAACACAGAGGTGTCTGGCCACATGTGCAGGGCAGAATCAGATGATCTCATTCCTAAAGCCTGCACATAGCTCAGCCAGTCATGGTGGTGCCAGGGGCAGCCGAAACAAAGAAACCATGCTAAGGTCTCCTCTACTCACGTCTTCTCTACAGCTGATTACTGGATGTTCCATTCAAACTATGTAGCCAAGCTCAATCTAAGCAGTACAGGATCAGCATACCCACTTCACCTAATAACATTCTAGATGATAACACGGCAAAGTATACATGGGGATGTCCTTTAGCCCTCCAGTTCCCAACTCCCCACCTCCACACAAGTTCTAAAAGTCTTACCTATATACTATATCTCAAAGTCCATACAAACCTCTTCCTTTTAACTTCCTTTGGGACTTCTGTGACACCCTCCTCAATGGTGTCTAGGCTTTTACTCTTGACACTCTCGAAATCTGTTCTACAGAAGCCACAGCAATAAAAGCTAATTATACAGTCCCCTCCTCAACCCTCTTCAGTATTTTGATTTTTGAAGACCCAGACTTTAACCCGCTCTGGTCCCTGGGTCTTCTGGTCCCAGAAGACTTGAACTTCTTTGGCTTCATCTGGAGCCCCACAACCCTTAACTCTTTCGCTCCAGTTTCATAGGCTTTTTCAGTCCCATGCCTTTCTAGCCTGACAAGCTTTGTGTAAGGAAGTGTCTCCATCGCTCGTCTGCTTCCCCGATATGTCCTCTTTGCCCATTTGCACCCAGCTCACTTCTCCAGTCAGACTTTCAGGGCTCAGGTGCTTCTTTCAGCTACATCTTCTCCATTAAAGCCCCGCTTCATGAAAGCAGGGGTCTGTTTCGTTCACCATCCTCACCTTATTCCTACACAGGGTCCCCAGTATGTATCTGGCTTTCCACAGTATTTAGCTGGATGAATCAGTGCATGAACTTGATCCAGCCATCCCAGGACCAAGCTGTTAAGAGGTCTCCAAGAAAGGACAGGTGACCTATAGAGGGGGTGTGGTTCCTCTACAAACGCCCGTTGGTTAGGGCTGTCAGCTATTGGTTTACAAGAAAATGCTGTCATGTAAAGAAAGGCAGGAGGATCTCTGTGAATTCGAAGCCAGCCTGGTCTACACAGCGAGTTCCAGGACAGACAGAGCGGTTACACTAAGAAAACTTGTCTCCCAAAACCAAAGAAAATAAATAAAAAAAAAAAAAAAGAAAGAAAGAAAGTGGCTTGACTCAAAGGTCACCCTATCAGACAGTTAAAATTTTACCAGCTGCCCGCCACCTGAGGCCATTTTTTTTACTCCCACGATAGTCACGTACTTGCTGACCCATCCACACCACTTCGACCCCACTTCTGTGGCCACGCCCCCACCGAAGTCTGGACTCCGGAACCGCCTACTACCTCCACATTCTAGGCTTCAAACCTTACGATCTGGGCTTCTCTACACCGGGCCAAAGCCCACCCCAAACTCAGCTGCCCCGGCTCCAATGCAGGCCTGGGTCTTCAAAGATCCAGTGCAGATCAGGGTGTTCACCTGATCCTCCCAGGAACCTGGTCCTCCCGGCAACGCTCTAGACCAGCAGGCACTGAGCTAGTTAGCCTGCGGGGGCCCTTTGGGGTCCTTCAGGCACGTTGCCGGGCAGCCCTCCTAGGGTCCTACTGCCTAGCGGCCGTGTGTCGTGTGTGTGTGTGTGTGTGTGTCCGTGTGTGTGTGTGTGTGTGTGTGTGTGTGTGTGTGTGTGTGTCCGTGTGTGTCCGTGTGTGTCCGTGTGTGTGTGTGTGTGTGTTCTACTGCGTAGCGGCGGTGTGCGTGACTGAGATTGAGAGGGAACAATAATCCCTTCAAAACTTGCTCATTTAACTTTAGGACTTGGGTGCTCCGACATTGCACTCCTGGAATGTTGGAAGGCGGGGCTGCAGTGCTGACAGACAGCTTGTTTACACAAGATGTCTTCCCCAGGAAAGTCCCTTTTTTTCTTTCTTTTATTATCTTTCGAGATAGTGTTTTTCTGTGTAGTCCGGCTGTCCTGGAACTCTCTTTGTAGACCAGTCTGGGATTAAAGGCGTGTGCCACCACCGCCTGGCCCATTTATTAAAAAAAAAAAAAAACCTTAAAATTTTTTTTATGTTAACCCACATGCATGCCAGGTGCCCATGGAGCCCAGAGAGGGTGCTGGATCCGTTAGAACTGGAGTTAAAGATGATTTTGAGCTTACACTTGGGTGCTCAGGAAGAGCAGCCAGTGCTCTTAACTGCTGAGCTATCTCTCCAGCATGAAATCCATTTATTTATTTTATATGTATGGTATTTTGCCTGTATGTATGTCCGAGTAGCATGTGTGTGCCTGTTAGTAATAGAGGCCAGAAGATCATTCACCTGAGACTGGAGTTACAGGTGTTTGTGAGCCATGTGGGTGCTGGGTATCAAACCCAACTCCTCTGCACCATCTGTGAGTGTTCGTAAACACTGAACCTTCTCCAGTCTTGATAGTCTTTCTATCTGTCTGGCTGTTGAAGGCATGAGTCCATTTCTGTTTTCACAGGGTGAGATTAACCATAGTCAGACATTGCTTTAGTTTTACTTTCCACATGGACCAAGCCCAATTTTTCTATTGTTCATCCTCGTTAATGTACCTCTGGAGTATGAGACTTCTCTAGCTTTAAAATGATTGTCCTAACTCAGTTTTTCTTCAGCCTGTGTGGTTTCTACATGCACATAAAACACATACACAGTGGAAGACTAGTTGCATAATTAGTGGTTGTTTCGACCATTCTCAACAACAAACCAGCATAATAAAAGTAAGGGCATAGCCCAGCGGTAGTGGCGCACACCTTTAACCCCAGTACCCAGGAGGGAGAGGCAAGCAGATCTCTGTGAATTTGAGGCCACCCTGGTCTACAGAGTGAGTTCCAGGACAGCCAGGAGTTATACACAGAGAAACCCTGACTGGTGTGTGTGTGGGGGGTGGGGAGTAGGTCAAATGTAGTTTATTCAGAACTGGTGTTAAGAACCAACAAAGAGCCGGGCGGTGGTGGCGCACGCCTTTAATCCCAGCACTCGGGAGGCAGAGCCAGGCGGATCTCTGTGAGTTCGAGGCCAGCCTGGGCTACCAAGTGAGTTCCAGGAAAAAGGCGCAAAGCTACACAGAGAAACCCTGTCTCGAAAAACCAAAAAAAAAAAAAAAAAAAAAAAAAAAGAACCAACAAAGAAGCTGGGTGGTGGTGGTGGCACACACCTTTAATACCAGCTCTGGGGGATTGGGGGGCACAGAGGCAGGCAGATCTCTATGAATTCAAAGCCAGCCTGGTCCACATAGTGAATTTCAGGACAACCAGAGCTACATAGTATGGTCCTATCTTGAAAAACAAAAACAAGGGTTGGAGAGATGGCTCATCGATTAAGAGCACTGACTGCTCTTTCAGAGGACCCGGGTTCAATTCCCAGCACCCATCTGGCAGCTAACAACTCTGGAACTCCAGTTCCAGGGGAACTGGCATTCTCAGATATACATACAGGCAAAACACCAATGCATATAAAATAAAAATAAACAAATTAAAACAAAAACCAAAAAGAACCAACAAAAAGGAATGGCAGGGGCGGGAGGAGGGAGTTGAGGGGGATCTGTGGTTGGTATGTAAAATGAATAGAAAATTTCTTAATTAAAAAAAAAATGCGAGCCGGGCGGTGGTGGCGCACGCCTTTAATCCCAGCACTCGGGAGGCAGAGCCAGGTGGATCTCTGTGAGTTCGAGGCCAGCCTGGGCTACCAAGTGAGTTCCAGGAAAGGCGCAAAGCTACACAGAGAAACCCTGTCTCGAAAAACCAAAAAAAAAAAAAAAAAAAAAAAAAAAAAAAAAATGCGGGCGGTGGTGGTGCACGCCTTTAGACCCAATACTCGGGAGGCAGAGCCAGGCAGATCTCTCCGAGCTCGAGGCCAGCCTGGTCTACAGAGTGAGATCCAGGAAAGGCGCCAAAGCTACACAGAGAGAAACCCTGTCTCGAAAAACCAAAAAAAAAAAAAAAAAAAAAAAAGAATGGCAGGTAGGTGGAGGTCAAATTGTTAGGTCTATTGATAATCTAAGGAGCTGTTAGAGACTGTAGTTTAATGTGGGAACCAAATATGCCTGTCTTCTGACTCTGTTACTTCAATATGAAACTTAGGAGCTTCACTTGAAACAACAACAATAACAATAAGCATCTATATCATTACCAAAACATGGATGATATCAGAGCATTATTTTGCACCTACATCTTCAGGAAATTCTATGGTAGCTTTTTTTTTTAATTAAAAATATTAAAAAATTTTTTAAATTCATTTTACATACCAACTACAGATCTCCCTCTCATCCCTCCCATGGTAGTTTTTCAGTCTCCATTTTGTGAGTCTACACTCAATTGGGAAAAATCAACTATTAAGAGGTTAATAATGGGCTGGCAAGATGGATCTGTAGATAAAAGCAATTGCCACCAAGCTTGATGACCGGAGTACCATCCCCAGGATCCATATGGTATAAAGAGAGAATCACCCCTCATCCTCAGGTTGTCCTCTGACCTCCATGTGTGTGCTGTGGTGTGCATGTGCACACACAAACAAATATAATAAAATAAATTAGGGGCTGGAGAGATGGCTCAATGGTTAAGACCACTTGCTGCTCTTGCAGAGGACCTGGGCTCAGCTCCCACAGCTCACATGGTGCCTCACAACTGTCTATAACTTTATAAAACATACTGACTGCTCGTATGTACACAGGTAGGGCTAAACACTTGAGATTGGATAGGAGATCAGGGAGCTTGTGCCTGCAGAAAACTGATGGTCTCAGCTGGCATTGGTAACCTAGGGGTGGGGACTTACGGAATTTCTTCATCTATCTTGGCATGTCAACTGGTTTCGCAATTGTGCAGGTCTCTTCTAGGAAAATAGTGTTGATATTTCCTGGGTGCAGTTTCCCTGCCATGGTTAGAAGACACCATCTTGCAGCAGGCAGCCTGGTCCTCTGGCTCTTAGGATATTTGCACTCCCTTGGCCAGATTTACAGTACCAGGCATGTGCTGCCTCTTATGAAGTAGGCCTTCAACCCCCATCTGCTTGTGCCACTATGGCACTCACGGGGCATACCTTGCCATGCTAGTCACTATTATAGTTCACAGGGTTCACAGCTGGGTAAGACTTGCTGACTTTTTCCCCCTTAGCAGTCTGCAAGATGTTTTTGTTTGTTTGTTTGGGTTTGGTTTGTTTTTTTTGGTTTTGGTTTTTCGAGACAGGGTTTCTCTGTGCAGCTTTGGGCCTTTTCCTAGAACTCACTTGGTAGCCCAGGCTGGCCTCGAACTCACAGAGATTTGCCTGGCTCTGCCTCCCGAGTGCTGGGATTAAAGGCGTGCGCCACCACCGCCCAGCGATGTTTTGTTTTTTAATGAAATAGAAATATACTTCTCAGGCATTTTGTTGTCGTTTTGTTGATTCTGTGTTGTAGTAGAATATTATTTTAAGGTGTGTTACTTTTGTTTATGTTGTATTTGTTTAACTCTGTGAAGCTGTGTTACTGTGCTTATCTAACACACCTGATGGTCAAATAAAGAACTGGCCAATAACAAGGCAGGAGAAAGTGCTGTGGGATGTTCTGTATGGCAAATGTGTTGCTAATTAGTCAATAAATAAAACACTGGCCATTGGCTAGGCAGGAAGTGTAGGTGGGACAAGGAGGAGAATAAAGCTGGGAAGTGGAAGGCTGAGTCAGAGAGACACTGCCAGCCGCCATGATGAGAAACAGCATGTGAAGATACCGGTAAGCCACGAGCCATGTGGCAAGGTATAGATTAATGGAAGTGGATTAATTTAAGCTGTAAGAACAGTTAGCAAGAAGCCTGCCATGGCCATACAGTTTGCAACCAATATAAGTCTCTGTGTTTACTTGGTTGGGTCTGAGGGGCTGTGGGACTGGCAGGTGAGAGAGATTTGTCCTGACTGTGGGCCAGGCAGGAAAACTCTAGCTATAAGAAAGGATAGGCAGGGTTGGTAGGCAGAGAGTATATATAGAAGGAGAAATCTGGGAAAAAAGAGCTAGCAGCCAGAGAAGGAGGAGGACTCCAGGGGCCAGCCACCCAGCTACACAACCAGCAATGGAGTAAGGATAATATTTACAGAAAAGAATGGGAAAACCCCAGAGGGAAAAGGTAGACGGGATAATTTTAGTTAAGGAAAGCTGGCAAGAAACTAAGCTAAGTTAAGGCCAGGCATTCATAATTAAGAATAAGCCTCGCTGGGCGGTGGTGGCGCACGCCTTTAATCCCAGCACTCGGGAGGCAGAGCCAGGCGGATCTCTGTGAGTTCGAGGCCAGCCTGGGCTACCAAGTGAGTTCCAGGAAAGGCGCAAAGCTACACAGAGAAACCCTGTCTCGAAAAACCAAAAAAAAAAAAAAGAATAAGCCTCTATGTGTGATCTATTTGGTAGCTGGGTGGCGGGCCCCCCAAAAAAGAGTTAAAACCCCCACCAATACTGTGCTGTTTGGGGAACCTTGTACATGCTGGGTAAATACTCTACCGGAGAGCTATATGTACACCACAATTTCCCAGGCTGTTCCGAAACTATAGCCTAGGCATGCCTTGAATTTGCAGTTCTTCTGTCTCAGTCTCCCATGTAGCTAGGATTGCAGATCTGCTCCATCAGACCCAGCTCAAGTTTGTTTTGAGCCTTAGATACCTTACTGAGAAGTAGAGAGAAACACTACCATCACCAGGAATCACTCCAATATCATGCTCAACAAATTTTCTTTCAATAAAACTCTGAATTCCAAGCTGGAGACAGTTCAGTGGTTAAGAGCATGTCTGATTTTGCAGAGGATCCAAGTCAGGTAGCTCAACCACCTGTAACTCAAGTTCCAGGGGTCCAGTGCCTCTGGCTTTTGTGGGCACCTGCACATATCCACATCTAGACACATTCCCATAATTTAAAAATAAAAATAAGGGGTTGGGGATTTAGCTCAGTGGTAGAGCGCTTGCCTAGCAAGCGCAACGCCCAGGGTTCGGTCCTCAGTTCTGAAAAAAAAAAAAAAATAAAAATAAAAATAAATATAAACCTTTGGCCGGGCGGTGGTGGCGCCCGCCTTTAATCCCAGCACTCGGGAGGCAGAGGCAGGCGGATCTTTGTGAGTTCGAGGCCAGCCTGGTCTACAGAGCGAGATCCAGGAAAAGGCGCAAAGCTACACAGAGAAACCCTGTCTCAAAAAACCAAAAAAAAAATAAAAATAAAAAAATAAACCTTTGGTGCTGGAGAGGTGGTTCAGCAGTTACTGCTCTATAGAGGGCCAGGGTTTGATTCCTAGCACCCTCATGGTGTCACACACCCATCTATACCTCTACTTCCAGGAATATGACACCCTCTTCTGACTTCTACGGCATCACAGATGCTTGTGGTACACAGACACACATGTAGGCAAAACCACTCATAATTAAAATCTGAATCCCTTTTATGGTGTAGTTGTTATGAGATATGCTGAGAGCTATACAGTTAACAGGATAACTATCCAACTTAATTATGACCAAAGCCCTCAATTTGTAAATATTTCTGCTACTGAGATATTTATTCCCTCATTTTGCATTTCATTGGTTATTTGATCACTGTGTGAAAATATGGAGGGATGTGAACATAGAATATCTGATATATTGAAAGGTTCTTGCTGAGTGGTAACGGTGCATGTCTTTAATCCTGGTACTCGGAAGACTGAAGCAGGCAGAACTCTGAGTTCCAGAACGGCCAGGGCTACACAGAAACCCTGTCTTGAAGGGAAAAAAAAGGTTCTTATTAACTGAGAAAATATTTACCAGTCAAGCTATGCTGAGAATCATTTATTGAAGAAACAAATCAATGAATTTGATCCAAGTATCTTCTACTACCAGGATGCACTTCTCAAGGAGCTATTCTTTTTTTTCTTCCAAACATTGGAGATCGAACCTAAGGCTTCATACATGGTAAGCAAGTACTCTACCAAGAACTCCAGCCCCTGTCCCCCAAATTGGGTATCTTTGAAGATTCAGCCATCATGCTTCACTTGGCTATCTGAGGATCCAGTAACTTTTATTCCTGTTCAGACTCATCCAGGGAGTAAATCTGTAAGAGAAATATTTGCTTAGAGAATTGAAGTCAGTGCAATGAAGAGATAAACTACTGCAATGTCCATACCCACAATCCAGTAGGAGGGATGCTGACCCCTGAACTGATGCTGACGAGACATTCTGATTTCATTGAAGGATGAAAAGACAGCAGAGTAGAGGTGGGCAGAGCAGAGAGCACAGGGTGTGGGTGCCTGTGCTTCTGGAGACTTGGAGCCTCTCAGAACTCCACTCCAGCAGAGCAGATGGGAGGTATTAGATTAGAGGGATGTGACCCACGGGGTAGGCCAAGGGCTGTATGAAGAGCAGAACGGGAAACGGACCCCCATATTCTCAGTTCTCAGCTCAGAGGGTTTGAGACAAATCACATGGCCTCTCCAGACCTCTGCTTATTTGAATATGAGATGTAGCTGGGAAGTGTGCTTTTAAAGTGCCTGTGAGAGAGCTGGGGGAGGGGATAACAGTAAACAGTGTGATACTAGGCAGGAAGAAGGGCTGGGGAAAGGTGTAAGAACCAGCCCTCCTCCCGTTTATGATATAGATAAAAAATATATGCAAGTCTCTGGGGAAGAACTGCCATCCATCCATCCATCCATCCATCCATCCATCCATCCATCCATCCATCCATTCTCTTTTGCTTCACACCATGATAAACACCGCCATAGACTCCTATGTCACTTCGCAAAGTGATGAGAACATTTCTTGGTCATTTTCAAGGTTGGAAATGTTGCTTTATAAGATACGTATGTACATAATTCGTTACATTGTCTAAAACATGTGAGATTTTTCTCCGCCTTGACTTTAAGTCCTCATTGACTTTAAGTCCTCATGGTTCCCAGACATTGTGAGAATCCTGACGTCTAGTCTCCCCCAGCACTGGATACTTCCGGGCCTGACTTTTTCCAGTAGCCAGTAAATTGGCATCTCATTATTGTTTCGGTTTGAACCTGTCCAGTTATTCCAGAGCATTTGCGCAGACTTCACATGTCAATCAGCTCGTGAACAAGCCCAGGTGCATATTCTCTGTCTCTGATTTTTGCTTTAGAAACAGGGTCTTACAGTGGAGGCAGGGCTGGTTCAAATCTGTAATCCTCCTGTTGCAGCCTCCCAAGTGCTAGAATTTCAGATTTGGCTTTTCTCTTCCTTCTGTTAAAAAATTCTTTGCCTATTTCTTTTGTCATTTTTTTCTGAATATTAAGAACATATTGATATTAAGAACAAGCAGAGTGTGGTAGCCCATGGCTTGAATTCCAACACTCTGAAGGCAGAGGCAGGCAGATCTCTGTGAGTTCAAGGTCAGCCTGGTCTACACAGAGAGTTCCAGGATAGCCAGGGCTACATAGTGAGACCCTATCTCAGAAACAAAAACAGACAAAACCTAAAAATCTAAGGAAAAATGAGGGAAAAAATGAATAAATAAGTAACGATGCATATTCTTGTTTTCTGCCTGAAACACGGAATGTTGGGATGATAAAATATCCCTTCAGGTTCTGCCAGCTGTTTACTAACTCATTCACAGTGTTCTGCATTTATCAAAGATCTAGTATCAGCTGAAATAATCATGGAAATAAAATATTGTCTATCACAGTTTTAGAGAAGACTATCATAGTTTTAATTTTAACTAATAATTCAGGAAAATAGATTGTTTCTCTATTAAGTCATATAATTTTTGTTTCTTGTTTTTTAGTTTTTGGAGACAGTGTTTCACTGTGTGGCTCTGGTTGTTCTGGAACGCACTCAGTAGACCAGGCTGGGCTCTGGCGAGTGCTGGGATTAAATTCATGTGACACAAGGGCCACCCCACCCCCTCCTCATGCTGAGCAAGAAGGAATTCTGGTAGCAGACAGCTTTCAGCCTTCAAAGACCATGTTATTTCACCTTGCAGATTCACTGTGTTGGATGCCCAGTAGTCCTTGCTGCGCCTTGAAATGTGTATGGATAATAACCCTGCAACTTGTTTGACCTGTCTCTAACCTCAGGGGTAAGACACCAGAATCTTCTGTTTGGTCATATCAAGCTTGTAGGTTCACGTTTCTTTTAGTTTATCATTGATTTTTTAGGCTTGGTTACATACATTTATTTTCTGTCTCTCTGTGTATTAGGCTAGCTGCATAGGCAGTATGTTGGATTTTCTTTTTCTTCTTCTTCTTTTTTTTTTTTTTTTTGGTTTTCCGAGACAGGGTTTCTCTGTGTAGTTTTGGAGCCTGTCCTGGATCTCTTTCTGTAGACCAGGCTGGCCTCGAACTCAGAGATCTGCCTGGCTCTTCTCCTGAGTGCTGGGATTAAAGGCATGTGCCACCACCGCCCGGCCCAAACCTCCCAGTTCTTTGAATCTGTATGACAGATGTATGGGCTTCTTTTTACCACTATCTCTCCCTTTATGCATTTTGACAGTTTTCTTAACTGTGGTGATATATTGTGTACTCTAATAAAATTTGCCAGAAGATCAGAGAACAGAACAAGCAACTAGATTAAACATAGAGGCCAGGCAGTGGTGGCACACGCCTTTAATCCCAGGAAGTGATGGTTGGGCTGAGAAAGGTATATAAGGCGTGAGGAGACAGGAACTAAAGACTTTTCGGCGTCCCTTTCAGCTAGAGACTTTTTAGGCTGGAGCCTTTTTGGCTGAGGAAGCTCATTCATCATTCAGCTAGAGGCCTATCAGCTGAGGCTTTTTAGGCTGAGGAGTTGGTGAGGTGAGACGTGGCAGTGGCTTGTTTCTTTGTCTCTCTATCTTTCAGCATTTACCCCAATATCTGGCACCAGGATTTTTTATTAAAAGACAGTTTAGAATTCATGTTATAGTGTTACAAATCCTTGATAACAGTGGCTGGTGAAATGTCTCAGGAATAAGAGAAAATGCTGAACAAATGTGAGGACCTGGGTTTGAAGTCCCAGTACCAATTAAAAACCTGGGCATGGCAGTGAGTCCCTGTAAGTGGCACTGGGGAACTGAGGTAGGTGGATCCTCAGAGGGAGATATCCTGTCTCAAGGCAACAGGGCAGAAAGCAATAAAGAAGTCACACAAAAAGATACCTGGCAGCCTGCTCTGGGCTCCACATGTACACTCAAGTGTGCACATACCCAAATACTCATGCATAAACCACACACACATACAACTCACACTCATAAATCCTTGAAAATGGGCTGTTAAATACATGTGATTTACTTTTTAAAAGGAAAGAATAAAAGTGACTTTACTTACACATTCTCCATCATGCATTTTAATTATGGTTCTGCTTTCGTATCTGGAAGAAATTATATTATGGAATGATTATTTTTGTTCTATTGTATGCCATAAACCATCACCAACTCTTTCTTGGTAGTCTTAGGCAAAGTCAAGAAAGAAATATTTTGTTAATAACAGTGAATTTATATATATATATATATATAATGTATTCATTTTATTTTGTGTATATATGTGTTTTGCCTGCATGCATGTCTGTTTACCCACGGAGGTCAGAAGAGGGTGAGTTTGGACACAGCCTACATTCTAGTTCCAGGGGACCCAGTGACCTCTTCTGGCTTCCATAGGTACCTGTATTTATGTGTCATGCTCGTGTGTGTACGTGCATGTGCATACATGCACTTGCACGCTCATGTGCACTTGCACAAACACACACACACAATTAGAAATAGAACAATCTTAAGAAAATACCATGAACACATATATCAATTAGATAACCTAGATAACACTGAGAATTTCATGGAAATACAATTATCTAAACTGACTGATAAAGAAATAAAACATCTCGGCAGACCTCCAAGTACAGACATTAAATCTGTGATCAAAAACCTCCCAACTGGCCGGGCCGTGGTGGCACACGCCTTTAATCCCAGCACTCGGGAGGCAGAGCCAGGCGGATCTCTGTGAGTTCGAGGCCAGCCTGGGCTACCAAGTGAGTTCCAGGAAAGGCACAAAGCTACACAGAGAAACCCTGTCTCGAAAAACCAAAAAAAAAAAAAACCTCCCAACTGGTCTTGTTCAGGCAACCATACTGCTGAGAAACAAGATCTGCATGATGGCCACACCAGTCACTGTGCCTGCATGGGCAGGGGAGATCTCACAAGGCCCCACCCCTAGATGATGACCTACAGCCAATGGCTGCTGAGAGGATGAGGATCCGTTTTTTGCAGGAGGAAGCCCCTCTTAGGTTATCCCACCTCAAGTGGTCAGCCCTAAACACAAGTACACATAAGCAAACATAAATGAACTCAGGAGGGTGTGTGTGTGTGTGTGTGTGTGTGTGTGTGTGTGTGTGTGTGTGTGTGTGTTTACATGCAACAATAATAATTAAATCGAGAGGGATTGGGAAGGGGACACAAAGGAGTTAGAAAAGAGGGAAGGGTGGGAATGATGTAAATATGGTACTAATGTATAAAATTCTCAAAAACAAAAAAGTTAAGTTAAAAAAAAACCCTAAAGAACCAAAACTCTCTAACATCGTTGGTGAGATAGATGTAAACCCACCTGCTCCCAAGGTGACAACCTGAGTTCATTCTCAGAACTTATAAATGTGAAGGAGAGAGTCAATTCCTACAAGTTGACTTCTGGCCTCCATGTGTGCACTGTGACATGTACAAGTCTCCCTTCCCCAAATAAATAAAATGTGATTTTTTTAAATGAAAGGATTCTAGACAGAAACTTGAATTCATACACAGAAAATCAAGTGTAGTGGTTCATACTTGTAATCGTAGCCCTCAGGAGGCTGAGCCAGGAGGTTGAGTCTGAGGCCAGACTGGGCTATAGCAAGTCTGAGGTCAGCTTACAATTGTTTTTTTAATGAGACCCTGTCTCAACTGAAACAGACAAACTAGAATCTATGTGAAGAAACAGAGAGCCAGTAGTGGACAGCTCCTATGAAGCTAGAAAAGACAATGAAATGTACTTTTTACTTGTACATCTTTTTCTCCTGATTCAAAAACAAACAGCAATAGTAATGCCTGTGTTAACTGGTATACAATAGTAATGCCTGCGTTAACCTGGTGTACAATAGTAATGCCTGCGTTAACCTGGTATACAATAGCTATGCCTGCGTTAACCTGGTGTACAGTAGTAATGCCTGTGTTAACCTGGTATACAATAGTTATGCCTGCGTTAACTGGTGTACAGTAGTAATGCCTGTGTTAACCTACTGTACAATAGTTATGCCTGTGTTAACCTGGTGTACAGTAGTTATGTCTGTGTTAACTGGTGTACAATAGTTATGCCTGTGTTAACCTGGTGTACAATAGTTATGCCTGCGTTAACCTGGTGTACAATAGTTATGCCTGCGTTAACCTGGTGTACAATAGTTATGCCTGCGTTAACCTGGTGTACAATAGTTATGCCTGTGTTAACCTGGTGTACAATAGTTATGCCTGTGTTAACCTGGTGTACAATAGTTATGCCTGCGTTAACCTGGTGTACAATAGTTATGCCTGTGTTAACCTGGTGTACAATAGTTATGCCTGTGTTAACCTGGTGTACAATGGGTAAAGGTATAATTTGTATGGCAGTGACTGCTCGAAGAAGGAGGGAATATATACCATCTTCCCTTCCCTTCCCTATACAGCTTTGGCTGGCCTAGAGCTCACTATGTAGACCAGGCTGGCTTCCAGCTCACAGAGATCTGCCTACCTCTGCCTCCCTTGTGCTGGGATCATGGATATGCACTATAATTATCTTTTAATTGTTGGGGGTGTTGAATACAGGGCCTCACATATACCGAGGAAGAGTTCAACCACTGAGCTATATCCACAGATCAAGCAAAAAATTTTATTTGTTTATTTAGTGTTTATGTAGATAGGTGTGTGTGATATATGTGTGTGCTGTCTACACATGTGTATGTGCAGGGACCTGCTACTGTGTGTCCATGTAGAGCCAGAGGAGGAGATAGCCTGCTCTATATCATTTTGCCTTATTCCCTTGGGATAGGGTCTCTCACTGATCCTAGAGCTTGGCTGGTGCTGAAAAGCCCCAGTGGTCCCCTGCCTCTGCCCCTCAACAGCACTGGTACTGCATGTAGCCTTGTTTGGCTTCCTTGTGTGGATATTGGGAATCTGAACTCTGATGGTCATGCTGGGCCCACAAACATTTTTCCCCACGGAGCCATTTCCTCAAGCCCTAATTCTTTTTAATACAGTAAAAGTGAGTTTGTATACAACAACATCTCTTGTGGTGCTGTGGGTCCACACTGCCCTGTAACTGGCAGTTATCTGTGCCAGTCATTGAGACTGACATACAAATTGACTTCACAACTCTTTTGTGGGCTCTTAGTGTAAGTTTTAGTATTTATACAACCAAGAGCACCAAACAGCTGATTCCTATTTGGCCAAGCATCTGTCTTCTGACCAAGAAGATTATTCTTTTTCTTAAAGAAGACTATCATGAAGGATGGATGTTTGACCCAGTCTCATGTCATTCCTCTTTTCTCTCAAGATACTGGAGACCAGGCGGTGGTGGTACACACCTTTAATTCCAGCACTTAGGAGGCAGAAAGCAGGCAGATCTCTGAATTCAAGGCCAGCTGATCTACAGAGTGAGTTCTAGGATAGCCAGGGCTGTACAGAAAAACCCTGTGTTTGAAAACAAAAAACGGACATTGGCTTAACTGGGGAGTAGTACACAAGTTGTGGATTTCCTCCCTCGAGAAAGCAGCTTCTAGCCAGGAAGTCCCCACTTGTTTGTCCATTCTTTAATGCAGACTTCTGTGCCATGGACCAGAGAGTCGGGCATTTTGTACAGATGTTGTCAAAACCTAAATGTCACGGGCCCCAAACTGAAACACTGACAGGAGAACATTTAAAAAGTTGTTTTGGGGAATAATATTCATTCAAAGACCAATAAACCATGAGTTGGGAAAACTTACCCAGCTTTCTCCTCTTCTTCCCACTCTCCTCCTCTTCCTCCACCTTTTCCTCCTCCTCTTCCTCCTCTTCGCCCGTCTCCCTTCTTCCTCCCCTCCCTTAAAAAGCGTTTTAATTATATTGTATATTCGTGTGTTTGCTTGTGTATATGCATGGTCACGTGTGTGCTGTGACATATGTGTGGAGGTCAGAGGACAACTTTTGGAATGTAGGGCTGTCCTTCCACCGTGGATCAAAGTCAGGTCCTCAGGCTTGGTGTCGAGTGCCTTTACCTGCTGAGCCGTCTCCCCAGCCTACCTCCTCATCGGGCTGTTCTTTGGCCCGATGAGCCAACTGGGCTGTGGTTACATGGTCTGAATGCTGTGCCTACTTGCTGCTGAGTTCCCTCCACTTGGTGGTCCTCCGCACCCAACACCGCACTCTGACCTCTGTGGCGTCCTGTTTCTGCATTGCTGGAACAGGATCCCACTCAACTTTGAGGAGCAGGAGAGAAAAGGGAAGAAATGGAGAAGCAGGTAGTGGAGGGGTGTCTATGGGAAGATCTAATGGAAGTCGGCTGAGGCAGGGATAATAAAACGGAGACTTACAGAATTCTGGAGCAGAGATGGCACTCGCCGTGGTAGGTGACATGGTCACTGGCACATATAGGCTCACTGGGATTATGGTAGGAAACGAACCAGCAATTCCTTACGTTCTCCTTGCACAAATCCTGGAGTGAGACACAGAGCACGGCTTCCATCCCTCTCTCCAGGTCCTTTGGCCATTGTTACTGGTAGCAGGGATGGGGATGGACTAAGGAACACCAGGCCAGGAGCTTAGAGAATAGGCCTCAGATGCTCCACCTTTCTACCGGTCCTTACCATGATACCTACCTCACTGTAACAGATGTTCTGTGCATTCCCCAACCTCCCACCCGTTCCTTATTAGGAAGAAGTCTCTGTTCCTCAGACCACAAAGCATGATTATTATGGTACAGAGATCAAAAACTGGCCAATGTCTTTCCAAGCAGACATTTCTGGAGCTGGAGAGATGGCGCAGCACTGGCTGCTCTTCTAGAGGAACAGAGTTTGGGTCCCAGCTCCCACATGAGATGGCTCACAACTGCCTGTAACTCCAGCTCCAGGCTATCCAATTCTTCTGGCTTCCATGGGTACCTGTACACATGTGGCATACATCTATATAGACACAAATAAATTAAAATAAAATTTTAAGAAAAAAAAGAAAGGAATTTCTTTTTTTCTTTTCCTTTTCTTCCTTTTTCTTTTTTGGTTTTTCGAGACAGGGTTTCTCTGTGTAGTTTTGGTTCCTGTCCTGGAACTCGCTTTGTAGACCAGGCTGGACTCAAACTCACAGAGAACCTCCCACCTGTGCATCCTCAGTGCTGGGACTAATAGTGTAGGCCACCATGCCTGGAAAAATTGGAATTGCTTATGAGCATTGGTGAGTGACCTACAATCTGTACTGCCTAACATGGCAGTGTGCTTGAACTTACCACAACAAGGTAAAGATGCAGGACTGACAAAGAGTGCATCATGGGGTTCGGAGTGAGGGTGGCACACATGTGTCCTGGATATCACCATGGAAAAGATGTTCACATCATAGTGGGACTAACCTGAATTTTGTTTTTGTTTTTCGAGACAGGGTTTTTCTGTGTAGCCTTGGCTGTCCTGGAATTAGCTCTGTAAACTAGGCTAGCCTTGAAGTCAGAGATCTGCCTGCCTCTGCCTCCTAAGAACCGGGTTTAAAGGCATACATCGGGACTGGAGAGATGGCTCAGAGGTTAAGAGCACTAACTGCTCTTCCAGAGGACCGGGGTTCAATTCCCAGCATGGTGGCTCACAACCAATGAGATCTGGTGCCCTCTTCTGGCCTGCAGGCATAGATGCAGACAGAACACTGTATATATAATAAATAAATAAATAAATCTTAAAAAAAATTTAAAATAAAAAAATAAAGGCATACACCACCACAATCTGCCTGGGATCAACCTGAATTTGAACCATAACTTCCTCATACATTTAGTGGTGGCTATCACAGGAGGCTTGCATATTGGAGTAGTGTATAGGAAGAGCCCCCAGGGGCAACCAAATGAGTTGCATACACTCTGGGACTCTCTTATGATGGTGGTGCTCCCAGGCCAGTCCCTCCTGCTCCCCACCTCCCAGGGACCTGGAAGGGAAGCTGGCTCTTTCTCCACTCCTGTTCTGGGGAACCTGGGAAGTGGAACCCACCTTTGTCTCTTGGAAGAGTTCTTCCGTCATGTGACTGGCCATAGGAAGAGGGAAATCTGGAAGACAAAAGCATGCACATGGGAGAGTATTGCCCTGTCTGTGTCCTCAGAGGAAAAAACTAGGTGAAGGAGGCCCTCCTTGTCATTCAAGAGCACCCCATCCCATCATCAGAGCCCAGCATTCTCCTTTAACACAAGCTGGCCTCTACAGGAATGAAGAGAAGTAGGAAGCTCTACAGGAATGAAGTGAAGTAGAGACCTGGCCATCCCCTTCATAGGGGAAGTTATTTAACTTCCAAAAGCCTTAGTTTTTTTTGTCATTTTTAAAATTATTTTTTAAAATTGGTACATACTCATTTTATGCAGTACTGGGTTTCATAAAGACATTTTTACATACTCTTTGAGGCTGGACAGATGGCTCAGCAGTTAAAAGTATTTATTATTCTGGCAAAAGATCAAGGTTCAGTTCTTAGCTCCCACAGGGTGGTTTATAACCATAACTCCAGTTCTGACACCTTTTTCTGGCCTCTGAATGCAGTGCTCGAACATAGTGCACATATGAAAGCAGAGCACAGCCAGGCCAGTTCCCAAACCTGGTGCCATACACACGTGCAGTCAAAACACTCATGCACATACAATAAATCTTAATTTTTTTTTTTTTTTTTTGGTTTTTCGAGACAGGGTTTCTCTGTGTAGTTTTGGTGCCTTCCTGGAACTCACTCTGTAGCCCAGGCTGGCCTCGAGCTCACAGAGATCCGCCTGGCTCTGCCTCCCGAGTGCTGGGATTAAAGGTGTGCGCCATCACCGCCCGGCATTAAATAAATCTTAAAGGGAAGTTTTTTGACAGTATCCCTCCCTATCCCTCCATCCTCTCCCTTTTCTTCTCTCCCCTGACAGCTAGTCACTTTTGTTTTGGGTGGCCTTCCCTGCCTCCTCCTCCTTTCTTCAGAGTCTCATGTAGTCTAGGCTGGCTTTGGGCTTGCTGTATAGTCCAGGGTGACCTTGAACTCCTGAGCCTGCTGTCTCCACCCCCTGAGTGCTAGTATTGTAGATACTATGCTTGTTCATGGGGCGCTAGGGATGGAGCCCAGGGCTTCGTGCATGCTGGGCAAGCACAGTACCAACTGAGCCACCCTCAACCACCCTGCCACTTGTATTTTCTTTAGTTGTTTAAGAAAATACATTTTAAGTTATAAATTATCTGTAATACTAATACTGAAATGCCTTAAAAAGATGCTGAGTTTCACTAGCTTACATACTCATTCCAAAGCATCTTTGTATTGTGGGATAATCTTTTTGTATACTGTGAAGATGTATCTTTGCCAAAGCACCTACTGATTGGTTTAATAAAGAGCAGATTCGGAACAAGTAAGACCTACAGAATAGGAGAGAAGTAAAAGCCACGTGGTAGAATGTAGGTCAATAGAAACAGGTTCATTTGAGTTATAAGGATTGGTTGGGGGCTAGAGAGATGGCTCAGTGGTTAAGAGCACTGACTGCTCTTCCAGAGGTCCTGAGTTCAATTCCCAGCAACCACATGGTGGCTCACTGCCACTTGTGATGAGATCTGGTTCCCTCTTCTGGCCTGCAGGGACACATGTATACATAATAAATAAATAAATCTTAAAAAAAAAAAAAGAATTTGTTGGAAACAAGCCTAAGCTAACAACCAAACTTTCATAATGAATAATAAGTCTTCATATCATTATTTGCAGGCTGGTGGTCCCACAAAGGAAGGTTCGACTATATCTCTGCAGTCATATGGTGCCCACATGGCAAGAATCCGTTAAAAAACCATTGGTGGCTTCACAGGCCAGGGGTTACAGGCCTCAGGCCCAGCTGAGCTGCACTCGACCGTAGCTACTAGTGGCTACATGCAGCTGGAGCTGCTTGTGGCCAGATTGCCAACACATGTGGTTGGAGCTGGAGCTAAGGCCCAGCTAGCTCAGTCGGTAGAGCATGGGACTCTTAATCCCATGGGCATGGGTTCATGCCCCATGTTGGGCACCAAATGTAAATGAATTTCTAAACAGTCTTATTAAATAAGAAACACAGAGCAAAATACAGAGTTAAAGCCAAAGAGATCAGAGCAAGAGCCACCTAGCTTTAACTTACCAGCAGCAGACAGGGTCACTCCTTCTTTGGGTGGCAGAGTGGGACTCAGTTAATGTTTGACCCATGCAGCATGACAGTAGTCAGGCTGCTTCTGGACCCTGAGTAGTAGGGGCTGGGTTATACTACTGCCCTGCCTTCTGGTCTTCCTGCTTAGGGCCTGTTACCTACAGAGCCCAAGGATTGAAACATCCATCAGAAGGAAACAAGGTAGGATGCCCATGGGTAGTGCATTCAGTAGCAGAGGGGGTGAGGACTGAGTGAAAAGTGAGGATATGTGGAAATGTACCCAGTTTCCTTCAGATTACATTGGATACAGAGGGAGAGGAGATATTCAAGACATGAATAATAGTTTTCAGCTTTTTACAAAGCTTTTAAAGGTGTGAACCTTGTGGGGGGAAGTTCAATGTGAGAGACAGTAGCTATGGAAAATATGAGACTAAAGATGAACTGGGGAGTCTAAACGGGAAAAGAATATGTAGGGGTCCTCAGCTCTACAATTAACTGTGAATGCCACTTTTGCTAAAAATGGTCTATCATTAGCCAGAAGATCAGAATCTCCTTCTCCAGAGCCTACTGAAGTTCTTCTTGGGTTTGAGATAGGTACAGATACAAACCGAAAATCAATGCTTCCTAGGACTGAATATCCTTTTGATAACCTAGTATTGTGGAAAAGTCAGTGGCTCTGGATTTAAAAGGCTGGGATTCAACTTCCGGTTTTGATACTTAGCAACACTGTGTGAATCCTTTCTTTCTCTGGTTTTCAGCTTCATCTGTAACGTGAGGAATCAATGATCAAATGAATCTAGATGGTGTCTGGGGACGAGGCTCCATGGTACAACACTTGTCCAGTATGCACAAGGCTCTAGGCTCAATCTCCAGCACTGCAAATGAATGAATGAATGACACTGCAAATGAATGAATGAATGACTCTCTATGACACTGGCACCTCTAATTTTTCCATAGATTAGATCTATTGCAGTAAATATGGATAGAGTAAGAACTTGTAACTTACCAACTGCAAAGGAAGTCCACACTGAGACCGTTAGGACAAGGAGGGCCATTGAGAAGGTCACCTTCATGGTGGCAAGATCTGTGGAAGGAAGCACAGTTGTTTGGTGACAGCAACAAGGAAAGTGGGCCTGACTTTGCTCTCCAGTTTGTGGTGGTTTCAGCTGTGGAAGAAGACACTCCTGACTGAAGCAATCTGAAGACAGTGTCAGTGAATGTTATCAGCTCTATCCTGGAGGAGAGCGGCTTCTCTGCCTCCCCTGGTCCTCCAGTGTAGAGAACAGCAGCTGTCTCCCCGTTCTCTTAGGGAGAGAGGCCTTCTGCATCCTAATAAGTAGCTGCAGAATCAGTGTCGCTGCAGTAGCAACCACAGGGACAAGAGTCATAAGCTGTTCTACTCAGTAGCTTTTCTTTAGTCACAGAATCAGGACGTCCAGTGTCATACAGATGACATCAGCCTGTGTGTCAGAAAAGCAGACCTCCCTGGTCCCCACCTCACCAATTGCTTGCCAAGAACTTTCCATGTAACCCCTGCATAAGACCAAACCACAGAAGCCAAAAAAGCAAGGTTAGTACATTTAGAGACTTTCTCCTAACTATGGACTTTGATGGATAGGTCTTTGTTTTAGTTTTGACCTGTGGTACTGTCAATGTGCTGAGTTTTACAGCTTGAACAGTACTTCCATCATTGAGACAGTTGTGCTAAGGTCTCAGGTCTACTAAGTCTGGGGCCCTGTTACAGTGATTTAGATAAGAATGGCCCCCAAAGGCTCATATATTTGAATGCTTAGTCATCAGGGAATGGCATTACTTGAGAAGGATTAAGGTGTGGCCCTGTTGGAGTAGGTGTGGTTTTGTTGGAGGAAGTGTGTCACTGAGCATTCAAAAGCCCAAGTCAGGCCCAATATTGCTCTCTTCCTGCTGCCTGCAGATCCCAATGTAGAACTCTCAGCTGCTTCTCCAGCACCATGTGCTGTGGGATATTTGTTTAAATTGTGTGAAGTTGTGTCATTGTGATTTTTAATAAATTTAATAAAAAGCTGAAGGGCCAACAGCTAGGCAGGAGAGGTCAGGCAGGACTTCTGGACAGAGAGGAACTTAGAGGGTTAGAATCTAGGCGTGAGGGACACGCCAACGAGCCATGGAGCAAGTCAGACGTACAGAATGGAAGAGAGGTAAAAGTCACATGGCAGAATGTAGCTTAATAGAAGCAGGTTAATTTAAGTTATAAGAGCTAGCTGGGCCGGACGGTGGTGGCGCACACCTTTAACCTAGCACTCGGGAGGCAGAGCCAGGAAGATCTCTGTGAGTTCAAGGCCAGCCTGGTCTACAGAGTGAGATCCAGGAAAGGCACAAAAGCTACACAGAGAAACCCTGTCTCGAAAAACCACAAAAAAAAAAAAAAAAAAAAAAAAAAAAAAAAAAAGAGCTAGCTGGGAACAAGCCTAAGCTAAGGGTCAGACTTTCATAATTAATAATATGTCTCCATATCATTACTTGGGTGTGGCAGTCAACAAGAAATTACTACTACAACCATGTCTGCCTGTGTGCCCCCATGCTCCCTGCCATGATGAAAATGCACTAAACCTCTGAACCCGTAAGCAAGCCTGCAGGGAACCATGGAGTTGGCCTGGCCTAGCTGCCTTGGGAAGCATGCGTCATAGGTTTTTTAGGTTAGAGTCCATGACTGCAGGGGCACAATGTGCCTCCTGAGAGACCGATGCACTCCCTCAGGCAGTGAAGCATTCAGGCCACTTTGTGTTTCTTGGTATGCTCCCTTCGTAGTCAAGGAAGCATGGAAACTTGACAGGACAGTTGGTTTTAAACATTAATCTTGTCTACCCTGTGTGACTTGCAAACTTCACTGAATTCTGGCAACTACAACTATACTGATCCTGGCAATTGCCATAATATTCTGTTTCAGAAAAAGGTATAAAAGCTGATTGCTCCCCCTCCAGCCTCTCCTGATTTCATTCCTTATGGCCATATCAGGTGACGCTGGCCCAGTAAATAAGCATGGATGCTTACACAAGTCCCAGTTAGATGCTTTCTCTTAAGAGTTGCCTTGGTCAGCCGGGCAGTGGTGGCGCACGCCTTTAATCCCAGCACTCGGGAGGCAGAGGCAGGCGGACTCTGTGAGTTTGAGGCCAGCCTGGTCTACAAAGCGAGTTCCAGGAAAGGTGTTAAGCTACACAGAGAAACCCTGTCTCGAAAAAAAAAAAATAGAGTTGCCTTGGTCATAGTGTCTCTTCACAGCAATAGAACCAAGATAGTGTTCTTAGGAATATTTTCACGAGCCGGCATAACTATAGTTCAGTAGCCCAGTACAAAATATGGCTACGGAACCTCTCCTTAGCCTGGTTTTGTCATTCACCCCCTTTTTATGTACCCCAAATCACAGCTAAGCCATTCCTACAGCTTTTTGTTCATTTGTTTGCTTTGAGACAGGGTCTCCTCACTTTGTATACCAGGCTAACCTTGAACTCACTTTGTAGTTCAGGCTGATAATCCTCCTGCCTCAGTATGAGATTACAGACATGTATCCAATTTCCATGTCTCCTTTCATTGGCTTTTTCCTTACCTCCCCTCAATTTATCTGATCAAATTCTTTAAGCCCAACTCCGTGTGTGTGAGCACAGGTCTGTGTTTTATGTTTTCTGTCGTTGTAGACACGCTTTGTGTAGTGCTTCTGTAAAAGTGGCAAAACACCAAGAAGCTTTTTTTTGGTTTTGTTTTTTTCATTCTCAACAGTGCCTTTAGAGGACATGGGCAGGGTAGGTGTCTAGGGGAGGAGCCCACTAGTTTCTCTTTTAGTATCATGTTGGCTACAAAGAATGCCAGTGATTTCAGGGAAGAGAAATTCTAAAGAATGGGGAAGACTGTTACTGGCATTCAGACCACGGTCTGATTGTAACCAGTTGTAGAAGCAGCTCCTGTTGCATCGAGAGGCACAAAGGGTGACAAGCCACCTCCTTCTATCCAAATGGATTGCCACATGTCATTTAATAAATAAACACATCTTGCCAGGAACCTGTGGCAATGGAGTTCTAATACAGCATGGAGTTTTCTCCAGAGCAGTGGCTTCCTAGGAACAGTGTGCCTGCTGTCACTGTAAAGCAGGACCGCTGTCACCATAGCACATCTGCAGGAAATGCCTTCCAGAATGGTGATGAAAACTGGGTCCCCATCTCTCAGTCCCCACAAAAGGGGGAAAGGGGCCCCAAATCATGTCAGCAGTGGGAATGCCAGCATTGGACAACAGAAATGTCAACGCCATGTCATGTGGAGTAAGGGTAGCGGGATTTCAGCAGACTTCATGGGAGAGAAGTTACGTTCTTATGGAGCCCATTTCTGAGGAGAATTCCTAGTGTTCTGAAGCCCATTTTGTAGCAGGGAAGAGGAGGCTGAAACTGTTTTGAGTCCCCATTTACTGTTAAGTGAGCAGGTCACACCAGCCCAGAGGGAAAGAAATGTGGAGACAGCTGCCTTAGAGCAAAGGCCCAGCTATCTGGAGCATGAGAACAAGGGCTCAGACACAGCTCCTAAACACGGGAAAGGACTTTCAGACACGTGGCTTATGGCTAATGCGCCACTGTGCCCAAGAATGACTTTTTAAACATAAGAAATAAAACTATATATGTCTCACTGTTTAACAAAGAAAGAAGATGAGCCAAAGTTACTAAGATACCAGTAATAATGGGTAATAATATTTGTGAAATGAAGGAGAAAGTGCCAAGAGCTTTTCAACAAACTGTTTTAAAGTTACAATTACTTCTTGGGTATGACCTGTAAGTCAACAGATGGTAAGAAAAGAAAAGGACAGAATCCCAGACGCTCACTGCCATACTCTTTCTATTTTTGTTTTTTCGAGACAGGGTTTCTCTGTGTGGCTTTTGGAGCCTGTCCTGGAACTCACTTTGTAGACCAGGCTGGACTTGAACTCACAGAGATCCACCTGGCTCTGCCTCCTGAGTGCTGGGATTAAAAGCGTGCGCTGCCACCACCGCCCGGCCCACTGTCTTACTCTTAAACTTCGATAATGTATTGCTCTGGTGTTAATAGTTAGTTAATGACCAATGAAATTCCCCGAATGAAAACCGGAGAGTTGGTAGTGAAAGCTCACTTGCACTATTGAGGTGGTTATATGCTATTCTTTGTCTACAGCACATTTTGCTGTTCCCTTCATCCTACACACTTTCCAGACAAATGATCTAGCTGGGTAATTTCAGCCCAAGACTTCCCCTGAATAAAACTATATAGTAAAACACTCTTTCATCCCCCTGAATAAAACTATATAACGAAACACTCTTTCATTCTACAAAAGTTACCAGTTGGTCAGTCCACGTTACCTGCTGTGACTCCCGCAGCTGTTCTGAGAAGCTGACTGGCAGAGATTCCAGGTGATAAGGAAATAGCAGGGCTGGCAGGAGGTAGGTGTTGTCACAGAGGACAGTTCCCAGCACTGGAAGACAGTGAGCTTTGAAGTTCAAAAGTATAAATACAAGCCAGGGATGTAGTGATGCATGCCTTTGGTCTCAGCACTCAAGCAAGAGGCAGGCAGAGCTCTGGGAGTTCGAGGCCAGCCTAGTCTACATAGTGAGTTCCAGGACAACCCGGACTACATATTATATACATTTCAGCTTCCCGGGGGTAGAATACGTTGTCCACTGCCACTTTGAAATCTCCTCCTCTTGCCAAGTTTGCTATCACTTTAGAAATAGGCCTTACTTAATTTTTAAGTTTGTTTTTTGAGATAAACAGGGTCTCCTGTGGCTGGCTTTGAATGCTAAAGATAACCTTGACCCTCCTGCCTCTACCTTCTAAGTACTAGGATTACAGCTGTACACTACCATGCCACACTGATTGATTGACTGATTTTATTTGTTTGAGTTAATTTTTTTTTCTTTTTTTTTTTTTTGGTTTTTTCAAGACAGGGTTTCACTGTGTAGCTTTGCACCTTTCCTGGAACTCGCTTTGGAGACCAGGCTGGCCTCAAACTCACAGAGATCCACTGCCTCAGCCTCCCGAGTGCTGGGATTAAAGGCGTGCACCACCACGGCCCGGCTTTGAGTTAATTTTAAGCCAGGCAGTGATGGCACATGCCTTTAAACACATCACTTGAGAGGCAGAGGCAGGTGGATCTCTGTGAGTTCAAGGCCAGCTTGGTCTACAGAGCAAGTTCCAGGACAGCCAAGGCTACACAAAGAAATCCTATATGGAAAAACAAAAAAATAATAATAATTAATTTTATTTTTATGTGTGTATCTGCCACATATTTGTAGATACCTGTGGAGGCCAGAAGAAGGCATTGGATCCCCTGGAGCTGGAGTTACTGGTGGTTGTGAGCTAGGAATTGGGTGCTAGGAACTGAACTTGTGTCCTCTGGAAGAGCAGGAAGCTCCCCAACTGCTGAGTCACCTCTCTGGCCCTGGTTTTAGTTTTTTGAGACAAGGTCTCCCTCTGTAGCCCAAGCCTCACCTTGTAGCTGAAATTCTATTCTCCTGCTTCTGCCTCTCAATGACTGGGAATACAGGAGTGAGTTACCATTCAGGATGGCTTCAGATAATTAAACACCATATTAATTACCATCCACACATAGAGAGTTAATTTTTTTTTGTTTTTGTTTTTGTTTTTCGAGACAGGGTTTCTCTGTGTAGCTTTGCGCCTTTCCTGGAACTCAATTTGTAGACCAGGCTGGCCTCGAACTCACAGAGATCCGCCTGCCTCTGCCTCCCGAGTACTGGGATTAAAGGCGTGCGCCACTACTGCCTGGCGAGAGTTAATTATTTTATTCAGAGTCAAAACATACTCCTCTTTTGGGGGAGATTTTGAGACAGGGTCTGATTCAGCCCAGCCTGGCCTGGAGCTTGTACATTTTCCTTATTGAAGCATTTACTTACAACATTTCTATAATAGCCTAACAGAATCTTTGTGTGTGCACACGTGTATATGTGTGTAGATGCGTGTGTGGGGGTAGGTGCACACAAGGGCAAGCTTATAAATGGATGCCTCAGTTGTTATTCCTCAGACACTATCCATCTTGTTTTGGTTTAAAGATTTTTTTTTTAATTTTATATGTATGAGTGTTTTGTCTGCATGTACAGGCAAATAGTATCCATGGATGCCAGAAAAGGGCATTGGATTCCCTGGAGCTGAGCTACAACCTGATGTGAGCTGCCATGTGGGTGCTGGGTACCAACTCTGGTCCATTGCAAGAGTAGCAAGTGTTTCTTAATAACTGAGCTATCCCTTCGCCCACTCTGCCCCCACCCCATTATCTTGTGTTTTGAGAAAATGTCTTCACTGGCCTGGAGCTTGCCAAGTAGAACAGCCTGGCTGGCCATCCAGATCTAGGAATCTGCCTTCCTAGTGCTAGGATAGCAAATGCATATATAAATTTAGTTAGTTAGTTAGATCTGGGAGCTGCAGAGATTGCTCAGCTTTTAAGAACACTCCTTGCTCTTGTAGAGGACCTGGATTTAGTTTCCAGCATGGTGGCTCACAACCCTTCATAACTCCAGCTCCAGGGCATCCTATGTTCTCCTCTGGCCTCTGTGAGCACATGGCACACATGTGGTACACAGACATCCATGTGAACAAATGCTCATAAAATAAAAACAGGCTGGCGGTGGTGGTGCATGCCTTTAATCCCAGCACTTGGGAGGCAAATGCAAGAGGATCTCTGTGAGTTCGAGGCCTGCCTGATTTACAGAGTGAGTTCCAGGGCAGCCAAGACTACACAGAGAAACCCTGTTTTGAAAAACAAAACTAATAATAATAATTATGATGATGATGATAATAATAATAATATCATCTTTTTTTTTTTAAGTTAGTCCTGGACTGTCATGATGATTCAGAGGGTAGAGGTGTTCATCTTGTAAGCCTGGTGACCTGAGTTCAATGTCAAGAATCCACATCAAGGTAGGAGGAGAGAACTGACTCCACAAAGTTGTCCTTTGAACCCCATCATCTCAAACCATACACAATCTTCCTTTACACAATAGAAATAAGAAGCTAAGTTCAGCAAGAAGGCTCAGTGGATAAAGGCACTTGACACCAAGCCTGATAACGTGAGTTCAGTACCTGGGAGAGGTATCTACCATGGTGGAAGGAGAGAACTGACTCTCAGAATTGTTCTCTGACCTCCACAAGTGCACTATGACACACACATCTGACTCCCTCCCCCAAAATAAATAAATGTAATAATGAAAAACATTTCAAGTTAGATCATTTCATGTTCTCATCAATTCTCCTTTTATCTGTGTGTTCAATCAAATAGGCAAATGGAGGTCAAGGAGGAAGCACAGTGTGTCCCTGGGGGTTCTTACAGGAAAGTTATCCAGTGCGGCATGACTAGTTTTCCTATGAGTGAGATAATCAGAAAATTGCCTAGCTTATTATGGTGCAAATACCTCATAACAAAGGCAGCATGAAGAGAGAGAGTTGATGAAACTCTCTGGAACGGGCATGGCATCATGAATGTACAGCAGATATTTTTAAAAATAACATTTTATGTGATGTAAAATTATTACTCAAATTTAATGTTGTGATGAAGCAAATTATATATTAAGTTATACAATTACCAAGAATCAAGAAAATTGCTGGGCGGTGGTGGCACATGCCTTTAATCCCAGCACTTAGGAGGCAGAGGCAGGCAGATCTCCGAGTTCAATGCCAGCCTGGACTACCAGCCTAGACTACATAGTAAGTTTCAGGACAGCCAGTGCTACACAGAGAAACCCTGACCCCAAAAAACAAACAAAAAGAATCAAGAAAATCAGACCTGGGAAACTGCTTCAGTGTTATCTAGTCCAAATCATTCATTTGATACTGGAAGAAAATGAGACTCAAGTAATAGTGGCATTGGGTATCTCCATACTTGCAGGTAGCCAGGTTTCAGTTACTCACAGGAAAGAATGTCATCTATCTATCTATCTATCTATCTACCTATCTATCTATCTATCTATCTATCTATCTATCTATCTATCTATCTATCATCTATCTATCTATCTATCTATCTATCTATCATCTATCTATCTTTCTATCTATTAATCGATCGATCAATTGAGCATCATCACTTTCATTGGGGAGAGTCACCAAGAACTCTCGGGAAAGATTCTAAACCGATGTCTTAGAAACAGAACCCTGGTAGAGGCTACGTTGACTACTGTGGTGGTTTGAATGAGAACGTCCCCACAGGTCAGCTCTTTGAATACTTGGCCCCCAGTTAGTGGTGCTTTTTGTGGAGGTTTAGAAGGTGTGGTCTTGGTGGAGGAAGTATGTCACTAGGGGTAGGCTTTGAGGTTTCAAAGCCACATACCATTCCCAGTTCTTTATTTTCTCTCCTCCGGCTTATAGCTCAAGATGTGAGCCCCTCAGCTTTACACTCGGGCTTCCATGACTGCTGTTACCTGTCATGACATACTCTTATCTCCCTGGAATTATAAACCCAACCAAGCTCTTCTTCTATAAGTTGTTTATCATAGCAATAGAAACGTAACTGATACAACTACATTGTCACGACTCTTCAGGATCCGATGCTCCCAATCATGTTATCAGCCATTTTAGCAGCTGCACAGTGGTGAGATGGTTAGTGCTAACTGTGAACTCGAGAGGATCTGGAATTTCCTATGAGGCAAGCCTCCAGGCACCTGGGAAGGGTTATTTGGATTTGGTTAGCCTCTGGGCACCGCTTTGAGGGATTATCTTGATTGGGTCCATTGAGGTGGGAAGACCCTTCTAAAGAGGGCAACACCATGCCCTGGGCTTGAAGGGTCCTACTGAATAAAACGGAGGCTGTGCACCAGCATTGTCTCTTTCTGCTTCCTGACTACAGATGTGGTGGGACTAGATGTGCTGAGCTCCTGCTACCATGACTGTCCTCTTGTGGGATATTTTGATTGTACTGACACTCCCAAGATTGCCAATAAAGTTTACTTTGAATCAGAGGGAGGAGCTAGGTACTATCTGACCAAAATTAGCCATAGAGGTTTTGGAGGACAGAGGACATATAGAGAGACACAGAAAGTAGTAGGGAGGGGTTTAGAAAGATTCTCAGCCTTTTTGGATTGAGGAAGGAGAGAGAGAGGAGGTCACTGATCACTTTAACTGTCGCTTCTCTGATCATTCAGGTTCTTGCCCCGATATCTTACTCCTGAGTTTTTATTGATAGAGAATAATTAGATAAACTCGTCACTTCCCTACTGTGATGGACTGTGCCTGGAACTGTGGGGCAGAATCAACATGTCTTCAGGTTGCTTGTGTCAGGGTATTTGAAGTATGTGTATGTGTATATGTGGGGTATGTTCATGTGTGTAAATATGCCCACAAAGTCAAGAAGAGAGCATTGGGTCTCCTGGAATTGGAGGTACAGGTAGCTGTGAGCTGCCTGGTATGGGTACTGGGAACCCGGCTCCTTTATCTTCTGTCTGTTGAAGTGTGTGTTAAGTATTTTTAATTGAGTTATTTCTCTTTTTTTTTTTTTTGGTTTTTCGAGACAGGGTTTCTCTGTGTAGCTTTGCGCCTTTCCTGGATCTCGCGCTGTAGACCAGGCTGGCCTCGAACTCACAGAGATCCGCCTGGCTCTGCCTCCCGAGTGCTGGGATTAAAGGCGTGCGCCACCACCGCCCGGCGAGTTATTTCTCTTTTTATTTCTTTTTTTTTTTTTTGGTTTTTCGAGACAGGGTTTCTCTGTGTAGCTTTGTGCCTTTCCTGGGACTCACTTGGTAGCCCAGGCTGGCCTCGAACTCACAGAGATCCACCTGGCTCTGCCTCCCGAGTGCTGGGATTAAAGGTGTGAGCCACCACCGCCCGGCTTATTTCTTATTTTTTAAGTTCAACTTTTTTTCTTTGTAATAACTACAGATTCTCATGTAGTTATTACAGTTATAAGTAACAACACACAACCCCCTATATGCTTTACCGTGTTTCCCCAATGGAAGCATCCAGCAAACAAGTACAACATTACAACCAAGAAATTGAATGCGTAGAGTCAGCAGTATAACAGTTCCCCCACCCCACCCTGCTTTTTTGAGACAGTTTCACCATGTAACCCTGGCTAGCTTGGAACTTGCTAAATAGACCAGGCTGGCCTTGAACTCAGAGACCCACCTGCCACTGCCTCCCAAGTGCTGGGATAAAAGGTGTACCACCGCAGCCAGCTAGCATTTCCATCTTCACAAGCATGCTCACCTCCTAACTCACTGTTGGGACAGTGGATTAACAGTGACAGTCTGTGTGTAAGTGATGAGGAACAGCTAAGCTCTGGGTTACAACTTTGGGGTACTTTCCAGCCCTGGAAAGCAGATAGCCTCAGCAGAGGATCTAACTCAACTTTCTGGGTAGAATTATGGTTTCACTGAGGGATAAATTTCCCTAAAAGTATGGTTCCATGTACTTTCTTTTTTTAAAGATTTATTTATTTATTATATATACAGTGTAATGTCTGCATGTATCCCTGCAGGCCAGAAGAGGGCCCCAGATCTATTACAGATGGTTGTGAGCCACCATGTGGTTGCTGGGAATTGAACTCAGGACCTCTAGAAGAACAGCCAGTGCTCTTAATGGCTGAGCCATCTCTCCAGCCCCTCCATGTACTTTCTTACAGATCTTTGATACTCAGACATTTGAGATATAAACATGGAATTAGACACATGCACAAAAGTGGTATGTAGCACAGTTGGACAGTTGATGAGAGAGGAAGAGATTCATTCAGTGGTATAGCTACTAGCAAACATACCACCACCCATGTCTTTCTCTGGCTCTCCAAACAGCCATAATGGAACTTACTGGGTCACAAAAACAAAACAAAACAACAACAACAAAAAAAGCATAAACTGGGTGGTGGTGGCACATGCCTTTAATCCCAGCCCTTGGGAGACAGAGTCAGGTGGATCTCTGTGAGTTCGAGGCCAGCCTAGTCACAGAGCAAGTTCCAGGACAGCTAAGGCTACACTGAGAAACCCTGTCTCGGAAAACAAAACAGAAAGCCATGAAAGTAGAAGGGGGCTAATTGGGAAAAGGAAAGAGATTAATGGGCATGGGGGGAGGACAAGAGGGAGGGGAGGGGAGTAGGATTGAAGTGTATGTGCATTTTAAAGTGTGTAATGGAGCTGACAAGGAGAAGTAGATAAAGATCACTTCCCCCCTCCTATCAATGTTTGTTAAAACAGAGAAATGTTTATTGTGTCTCAGGCTTGGCGGCAAATGTCTTTACCAATGAGCCATCTCAACAGCCACTATTAACATTTTAAAAGTGAAAAGAAAGAGGAATTTAAATTCTTATTATGATACCACAAGGTCACTTGCTCAACCATGTTCATAGCAGCATTATTCATAATAGCCAGAACCTGGAAACAGCCTAGATGCCCCTCAACCGAAGAATGGATAAGGAAAATGTGGTACATTTACACAATGGGTTATTACTCTGCAGTAAAAAACAATGACATCATGAAATTTGCAGGCAAATGGATGGAACTAGAAAGACTCACCCTGAGTAACCCAGACCCAGATCCAGAAAGACAAACACGGTATGTAGGTATGTACTCACTTTTTTTTTATGGAGCTGAGGATCGAACCCAGGGCCTTGCACTTGCTAGGCAAGCACTCTACCACTGAGCTAAATCCCCAACCCCTGTACTCACTCTTAAATGGATATTAGACACAAAACAAAGGATAACCAGGCCACAATCCACAACCCCAGAGAAGTTAGGTGAAAAGCAGAACCCTAAGAGGGACACACATGGAGGGCCCCAGGAAGGGACAATAGTTAAGATCTCCTGGGTAAACTGGGGTGGGGGTGGTAGAAGGGAAGGGATGGGGGATGGGAACAGGAGGGACTAAGATGGCCGAGTGGAGGGAGGGACAGAGAGGGAGAGCAATGAAAGAGATATTTTGGTAAAGGGAACCATTATGGGGTTAGGGAGAAACCTGGTGCTGGGAAAATTCCCAGGAATCCACAAGGATGACCCCAGCTAAGAGTCCTAGCAATAATGGAGAGGGTGCCTGAATTTACCATCCCCTATAATCAGAGTAGTGAACTGTCATCATAGAACCCACATCCAGGAACTGATGGAAGCAGATGCAGTGATCCACAACCAAGCATGGTCTGAGCTCCTAGACTCCAGTTGAAGAGAGGGAGGAGGGATCACAGGAACAAGTGAGGTCAAGATCATGATGGGAAAAAACCACAGAGACAGCTGACCCAAGCTGGTGGGAGCCCAGGGACTCTGGCCTGTCAGCTGGGGAACATGCATGGGACCGAACTAGGTGAATGTGGGTGACAGTTAAATGGCTAGATCTGTTTGGGGAGCCCCTGGCAGTGGGATCAGGACTTATCCCGGGTATATGAAATGGCTGTTCGGAACACATTCCCTAGGGTGGGATACTTTGTTCAGCCTTGACACAGGGGGAGGGGCTTGGTCCTGCCTCAACTTAGTAGGCCAGACTTTGTTGACTCCCCGAGGGAGGCCTTACCCTCTCTGAGGAGTAGATGGGGTGGGATGGGGAAGGTGGGGGGTGAGGTGGGCGAAGGGGAGGGAGGGGTAAACTGACCTGGGATTGGTATGTAAAATGAAAAAAAAGTTTTTTAAAATTAAAAAAAAAAATCGTAATATGCCTTTTGGCACCCATTTGTCTTGACCAGATCACCAGATAGCTTCCTGCACCATTTGTGGTATCTTAGGACCATGTCATTTTCAGAATAGAGGGTCAGAGTTGAGATTCCTCCAGGTTATACTGTGATGTGCCAGAGAACAAAATGATCAGAGCTGTAGAAGGGTCAATGTGAGTGGCCTTCTTTTCCAGGAAAATGGAAATTGCTTTTGATCCTCTCTTCTGCTCTGATGGACAAGAACACATTCTTCCAATAAATAACTGGTGGCGAAGAACTCACCTGCTCCTGAAGATGGACACACGTGCACAGCGGCCACCAGGGACAGCCACAGGTCAGGTCGTGCCAGCTGACTCTCCCCTGCTGTGATCTGCGTCAGACACAGGATGCGATGGACATAGTGACCCCAATGAAGCATGGCTGCTTTACAATGCTTTGATCCTTCAAGTCAGTGTTTGGCCTACTCCACAGGCAATCTACCATTCATCTGCCACTGCCTTGCGCATCTGTATAAGTTTACATCATAGACCAGGAATGATGAAGTGAGTTCACAGGACCACTGACCTACATAAGATGGACTTGGGCCATTTTTCCTCAGGTCTCGGTGTTTCCTAGTTTATTATGAAAGCTTATTATAACTGACTTGTTTTTTTTTTTTATCACCATGTCACCAGAAGGAGCTCACTGTCTAAATCCAACTGCACTCCAAAGGTCTAGGATTATTCTTTTCTCCAGTGGATAGTCCCATAGGTTCCACTGGACAAAGACTAAGGGATAAATATTTTCTATATTTGCAAAGGTCCGTTCTCAAAAACATCCAAATAATGGGCTGTGTGTAAGACCTGTGTGTAATCCATATCAAAATTGTCCGGAGGATCACGATTTTCTACTTGGTGGCTGACATGAGTACTTTATACCCCTGTTCTTTGTGGCTTCTGGCTGTAGGTCATAAATGTTATTATCATCATCACCTGCGTAGTGTCTCTCCTGGGAACAGCAAGGCCTGTTTGCCATTGACATGAATCCTTGTAGCTCAAGGCCTCCAAGTTGCAAAGACAGCCTTGTTTCTGGTTTCAGCAACTGCACCTCTCTCGCTTTGGACAGTGAAATGTTACCTCCAGGCCCCTGTTAGATAGAATTCCATCATCTCACTGGTACCCAGGGAGCTTAGTTTCTTAGTAGCTCTCTTGCCCTCATTTGAAGACACATTAGATGACAGCCCTCTCAAGGATGCTCCACTCACTTTCAGAGTACATTCTGTGTTGCCTTGTGACAGGTGTGGCTGTGATCTCTCTGGGAACATGATGGGCTAGCAGGGACTCACGTTCAGTTCTTATAGGCTTTGCTGAAATGTCTGACCCTCTGCATTAACCACAGCATCTCCACATCATTCGCTATGGCAACTCATGTCTCATCTCCAAAGAGCCCTGTCTTAGGGTTTCTATTACTGTGAAGAGACACTATGGGACACGGCAAGTCCCATAAAGGAAAACCTTTAATTGAGGCGGCAACTTACAGTTTCAGAGGTTTAGTCCATTATCATCATGGGGGGAACATGGAGGCTGGGGCTGGGAGTATGGCAGGATGCAGGCAGACTCGGTGCTGGAGAATTCTACATCTTGATCCAAAGTCTCACTGGGAGTGGCTTGAGTGTGTATGAGACCTCAAAGGCCACCTCCACAGTGACACACTTCCTCCAACAAGGCCACACCTCCTAATAGTGACACTCCCTTTGGGGGCCCATTTTCTTTCAGAACCCCACAAGCCTCATAGCCACAGTTAAGGATGAATATCTTGTGTCTTTGTGGGATGTTAAATCCCAAGTCATTATGAACACTTCTGTCCTCAACCTTGAGTCCACAGAAGGTAACAAGTCTCAGTCCGCTTCTGGACTTGTTCCTTCAGTTCCCAGCAATACAGACTAGACATACCACGTGACTCATCTGCTCGCTCACTTCTTTCCTTTCCTAACAGTAGCTTTACTCCTTCTCTGCTGAGATATGAGCCTGATTACTACTGGTCTGGAGATACCACATGGAGAGACAGGGTGGAACCTGCAATGAAGCAGCCACTTAAGGAGAGAAGATATTGAGCCAGGCAGTGATGGCGCACACCTTTAATCCCAGCACTCAGGAGGCAGAGGCAGGAGGATTTCTTTGTTAGAGGCTAGCCTGGGCTACAGAGTGAGTTCCAGGACACCCAGGGCTACACAGAGAAACCTTGTCTCAAAAAAACTGAGGGGGAGAGTAGGGAGAGAGAGAAGAGAGAGAGAGAAAGGCACATACACACACACACACAGGTTCGTAGACTGTTCTCATCTAGCAAAAGTAAGGAGAGTTTTGAAGGAATCTGGGCAGTTCATGGGTCTTGGGAAAAACAGTATACACCTGCTTCCCTGGTGTGTCTTTCATCGTGAGCAGAGAAGATACACAAGGTCTGCACATTCAGTATCCTGTTAACTCTCCACATCTTCAAATCAAATCCCGAAAACCCAATCAACTTCTTGTAAATATCAATTTGCAATGAAGGGATAGAATTTTCCACAGGGAAAAAAAGGTAAATTAATGAGTCATTGGTAAAGTGTTTGTCTGGCATTTGTGAGAACATGGTTTCAAACCACAACTCAAAAAAAGAAAGAGGTGGGCTGGAGAGATGGCTCAGAGGTTAAGAGCACTGGCTGCTCTTCCAGAGGTCCTGAGTTCAATTCCCGGAAACCACATGGTGGCTCACAACCATCTGTAATGAGATCTGGTGCCCTCTTCTGGCATGCAGGCATACATGCAGGCAGAACACTGAATACATAATAAATAATAAATCTAAAAAAAAAAAAGAAAAAGGTAAAATTAAAATTCAAGTAAATGCTACATGAGGATATGGAAGAAGAATCATGTTTTCCTCCATATTAGAGAGGCATTGCTTCCCTTTTGTATCTAGGTAGAATCACATTGAATACCATCACGCATGCCAACACCCACTGCCACCCACACTGAGGCAGTGGTGTGTGTGACTCCTGCCCTGGGGTGTTCACAGAGTAACTGGGTTTCACCATTGCTTTCCATCCTGTAAGGTGAGCTCTGCGGCCACAGTGGGCTTCTGGGTAGGTGGGAAGTAGAGGCTGTATGTGGGTTCAGGGGAGAACTTAAGTACTTAGTTAGTCTGATCAGAAATAGCCCCTGTGGACACGGAAAAATATCAACTCGGGATAATAGATGTTGGATTCTAACTTAGGTAGTAATTCAGTAAGGTCCACATGGCCCCCATGTGGAGAGGACCGCAAGAGAAACATCAAATTCCTTGTCTGGCTCTAGTAATTATGCCGTAGATACAATATAGATTTGCTCTTATTTCTGAGTTTATATTTATTTTTATAATCTAGTCAACATACATTTCTGTGTGTGTGTGTGTGTGTGTGTGTGTGTGTGTGTGTGTGTGTGTGTGTTCATATGCACCTGTGTGTCATGTATGCATGTACAAGAGGAAGCCAGAAGTCAATATGGGTACCTTCTTTACTCATTCCCTGCCTTACCTTTGATAGGGGTCTCACTGAACTTGGAGCGCACCAATCTGATCCAGTTAGACTGGTTTTCTGACTGGCCGGGGACCTGCCTCCTCAGTGCTGGAATGGGCATATTTTTGTCCCTGACGTGGGTGCTGGTGATTGAACCCAGGTCGTTATGCTTGCACAGCAAGAACTGTACCTACTGACCCATCATACTTTTTTCTTTCCCTTAATTCCGACCCTACAAACTCTCAGCAGGGTTTTCATATTCCACACAAGCAGAGTATATTTTTGAAACACAGTTCTTTCAAAACCATGGTGAGGGGCTGGAGAGATGGCTGAAAGGTAAATTTGAACACAAAACTTATGAAAGGGGCATATCAATTTTGAAAGCATTTGATAGACAGATGTGGTAGGTGGCTCATGCCTGTAATCCCAGCAGTTGGGAGGTGAAGGCAAGGAGGATCAGGAACTCAAGATTACCCTTGGCTGCTTAGCAAGTTCAAGTCCGGTTTGAGCTACAGGAGACCCTGTGTCATAAAACAGAGACTGATTGACTTCGAGATAATTTATCAGTTACGCATGACTGCATGCAAACCGCCCTGCAAAACCTCACAGCCTAAAGGAGCCATTGAGCTCATGTTTTGTGGGTTAGTGCTTTGGTTCAGCTGCCTCTTAATCTGTTTCTGATTTAGCTTCACTCAGCTGGTTTAATTCACGTATTGGCCACCAGGTGGCAGGTCACTCAGGTGCTGCTCACCTGGATGGTGGCTCTTGTGTGTCTCGAGGATGGTGATGAGTTAACAAGGCCAGGATTGTCGACTTGCCTGGGCACAGTCCCCAGAGACCAGAAGCCAGCCTAGCCTCTGGAGGCATAGGCTCTGCCGTTTGCTGCTTTGTATTAGCCAAAGAAAGTCACGGCGGCAGACCTGACTAAAGGCATAGATGGACTGGGGTGCAGTTCAGTGATGGAGTGGAGTGCTTAGCATGCTTAGAGCTTGGGGTTCAGTCCCCAGCACCAGAGAGAGTAGAGTATGCGGGGTATGGGGAGGTCACAAGTGGGGAGGAAGGAGGAGCAGGCATAATTTGGGTGGGAGAGCTACAGGGTCTCACTATAAAGAGGTACACTTCTCCTAAAAAAGCCAGGCATTTTTTTAGGCCCTCACTTGTAATCCCAGCACTGGAGATTTGTGGATGCTTGGTGCTCACTGGCCAGGGGGCCTACCCTAATCATTGAGCTCCAGACTAATTAGAGACTGTCCCAAAATAAGGTAGATGGTAACAGCTGAGTAACAGCGACCTGAGGTTGTCCTCCGTACTCATGTACACACACACGTGCTCAAACATGAATGCACATAAAATAAGAGATATGCTTACAAAGAGGCATGGATGCTTGCAACCATTTTACAACCTCTTCCAAGTCTAACTTTTTCTTCCCCTCACTTGGAAAAACTTCAATTTGTATCTTTTGCCTATAATCAACTCTGCTAATTTTCATATCTGCCCTTCAAACAAGGAAGGATCAACTCCCTTTATGAAGCTATTTGGTAACTGTCCACAGTCACTTTAGAAAGCACCCAGAAAGCTTCCTCTTTAACATTCCGGGCTTATCAAAACATTTGTGAGGAGCTGACAAGGTGGCTCAGTGGGTAAGGGCGCTGGCTGCACAGGCCTGACCACCCAAGTTCAGCGCCCAGAAGTCACAGTGAAGGAGAGAACTGCCTGCCAAACTTGTCCTCTGACCTCCACACACTTGCTGGGACTGCTTCCCTCATACAAGTGTCAGACACACACATCAAATAATTTGAACATATTTATTTGAAAAAAATGTAGATCTTTCTAGGAAAAAAAAGGCAGGAGGCAGGTTGTATGGAATTGTACATCAATTTTAAAAATATTTTATCACATTCTACTAAGTTTTTTTTTTTTTTTTTTTTTGTTTGTTTGTTTGTTTGTTTTTTGAGACAGGGTTTCTCTGTGTAGTTTTGCGCCTTTCCTGGAACTCGCTTTGTAGACCAGGCTGGCCTCGAACTCACAGAGATCCGCCAGCCTCTGCCTCCCAAGTGCTGGGATTAAAGGCGTGCGCCACCACCGCCCGGCTTCTACTAAGTTTTTAATTCTGTAGTTTTATTTTTTTTTTCTCCTCATGAGATGGTAAAAAAATACAAAATACAACCAAACTGTTCCAAATTCTGAATATAGATCTCTGGTTATTATTTCATCTTCATTTCTGCTGGGTGTACTTAATACTTATTTTGTCCTCAAGAAAAATAATTGTTCCTACAAGAGCATTGTCGCATCTTCTGAGACAGAGTCTGAGTATGTAGAGGTTGGCCTCAAACTCAGTCTTCTACTCCAGTTCCCCAAGCTCTGGAATTATACACAGGTACCTCCATGACCAGATAAATGTTTTCTTTACATTTATTTATAATATGTGTGTGGGAGTGCACATGCCATGCCATGTATGTGAAGATCAGGGGATAACTTGGCGGCGTTCATCTCAGTGGATGAACGAGGATCTCAGGGCTTGAACTCAGGTCCTCAGGCTTGGCACCAAGTGCCTTTACTTGCTGAGCCTTCTCACCGGCTCCCAGCTTAAAACAGGACATTTTCTCCACCCAGAAATCTTTACAAGGTAAATCAGAAGGAAAAGGGATTTAGTAAGCCTTAAGCCAGAACGTGACCCCAAGACTGGGAAGACACAGGCAGATCTCACCCTTTTTCGTTGCCACAGAAGCACAACCTATTACACAGATGTTCTTTGGAGCCCTGGTAATTAGTCCTTAATTAGTCCTCCAGTAAGAGAATTTGACAACTCCATTTGTTTATCCTAAATTCACCTGATAATTAGGTCACCATCTGCATTGGTTAATTGGTTTTATACAATGGAAAAATAAGTTTTTTTAATGAAAGAGGTAGCTTTACAACTGGGAGCCAGACTTTCACGGAAGTCAGGCTCCTAACCATCCACAGAAACTGGGAGACAAGGCCCTGTTAGAGTTCATCAGTTATGTACCTCTCTGTACATATGTAATGAAACATTTTATAATATGATATATTTCATATTAAGAAGACATTTAATATAAAATAATAAATTCATGTATAAGTATGTAATAGGTTTATACATACTGTATAATAAGATTTCAAGTCAATCTGAAAGACATCTTCAGAGAAGTACTAGGCAACTAGAATTTGTGTGGACAGAATATTTAAAGGAACACATACACATTTTGAGACAAAGAACAATTTTTTTTTTCTGAAGAAAACTGTTAAAGAAAAGGAGGAAAGCATTTCCCTTGTTCTTCAGGGGGACACTTGAGCTCCATTTCAATCTGTCCTCACCCGTACCTTGAGCAGGGCTCCTCTGGGTCAGCCATGGTCTTTAGTAACCATGGTATTCAGCATGTTTCTCTTCTCATCAGCTTAGGATTGATTAACCTGGTCCCTCATCCATCAGGTCATAATTAAATCTCATGCACCAGAGACAAGTCTGGACTATGTTGATTCACCAGTGAGTCAGAGGCAGACTCCTCTCGTTACGGAAATTGTATCGCACAAAAGGAAACATAATAAACAGATAAATAAATGTACTTAATAATTTATTTACAACCTAATCACAGGTGCTATTAAGCATAATGAGGACAAATAGAACAGCATGAAGGCCTGAGCAGGATGGGGATATTGTAAGAAGGGCAGTGGTGTTTGAACTGTGAAGGATTTCAAGGAAGACGAAGGGAGTCAGGGTCACAAGCAAAGAAAATGAGATTTTTAACCGGAGGCAAGGAACAGATGTGAGTGGCATTTGACTGTGAGGAAGAACATGGAAAAATGATCTGTGGGGCCAGAGAGAATTCTGCTTTAAAACATGTAAAGTTTGAGCTTTCTCTTTTTTAAAATTTTATTTTATTATTACTTTTATTTAAATGTTTTATGTATTTGTCTCTGTGTGCAGGTGCCCAAGTTGGCTAGAAGAGGGTACTGGATCCCTTGGAGCTGGAGTTATAGGCAGTTGTGAGCTGCCTAATGTAGGTGCTAGGAATTGAACTC